GAAAGGTGAAAGCCCAGAGTGGCTGAAGTTGAGTAAATGGAGGGGATGGGCCCATCCCCAATATCAGGGTTGTAGGGAAGTGCAGTTTGCAATCCTTAGCAGCAATACTGACACCTCTGATAGAACACCTGGAGGTACCTGTAAGCAAAGGAGATGTGGGGGCAAAGAATGGGGAATTGGGTGGTTAATCCCTCCCAGAAAGTTAAGGACTGCTTTAATAAAAAATGAAAAGACAGACTGTGTGTAGAGCTCCCTTTGCCAGAAATGGACATACTTAGTCATGGTGTAAAGGCAATTTTATCCAATGTCTTTTTTGGTATAGTGTTTTGAAGATGAATAAAAGGAACCATGTACTTATCTGAAAAGGGTTGCCAAGAATCATCTGTGCCCTTGTTACTTGAAATGAGTTCTGCAATCTTGGTCAGTTGCAAGGCATCAGTTCTGCCTTCTGTGTGTGAGTGAAAGCATATGCTGGCTGAACTGGGGGTTTCCCTGTTCTAATATCAAATAGATAAGTGAAACTGGATGCCCATAAAGATATGACCTGAAAACAACTAAATGTAAACTGAATACAACCACTGAGAGCAGTCAAAATTATTCTGATCCGTTTTACCACTTTGGCAAATAGATGACATCTGGGTTATTTGAGTGAAACTGGGTTATTTGAGCTGCCTTCCATAATCTGTCTGCAGGTTGGCAGTTGGCTTGCAGCAGATAAAGCTGAGCAATCACTAAACCAGCTAGAAATTGGAATAAAACACCTCATGTATGTTTTAAGCTTCTATTTCTATTCCTTACAAGGCTCTTACAAATGTTCCAAGATTTGGAATAACTTCTAGATTTCCCTTTCCAGTCTTGATTTCATATTTAATGTTGTGAAGGAAATTACTTCAAAGTAGCTTTGTGGTTAACTCTGTGGGGTTGTTCCAGAGGTCTGCAGAAACATGGATACGGGGAAAACATGGGTAACACTATTGCTTCCAGACCCAAGCTCAGTTTTTGGGAGCTCTCAAGGCTCTGCAAATGATTTTGTGAGAGCTTAAAGGCCTGACTACAGCCCTGACAGCAAATATCATATTTATTAATCACATGAGAGACAGAAATACACAGCCATAGTGGTACCAAACCAGCAGGACTGCCCTGAAAAGCAAAACAGGAGCAGTAGAAAACAAATAGTCAAGCTTTGGATTTATAGCAATGATCTAATTGACTCTAATGAGTAGAGTAATGCCATGTATGATAAACTGATAATTTGAAATACAGCTGGAAAAGCACACATTTCACTGTGTTAAAAATATCTTATACAGTGATGTCATCTAAGGGATCATTGCATGCATGAGGGACTGGCATAGGGAAGGAATTGTCTGCTTTCACAACACAGTTAAAGTTTCCACACTCTCAGGGCTCCTCAGAACGGTGGTGACTTGGAGAAATCCTTTTGCAGTGTGGAGGAACAGTTTCCACTACGTGATCCAAGGATGAGATCTCACACTGTGAGCTTTCATGAGCACCATGGGTTTGTCCAGCAAGTGGAGCTCCAGCTGCCCACCCTAGGGCCAAGGAGCACGTGTGAATGGAGACAGAGCATGAGAGATCCAGAACAGAGCAAGCAGGGACCATGGCAAATTGCCAGCACAGATATTGCCTCAGGAAGATGTTCTGAGGAACACAGGAGCTTTGAACTGTGTCCAGTCAAGACCTGACAATCCATGTCCCTCAGAAAATGCTGCACTGACCTCAAGGCAAAGAGGAGTCAAACAGATTTGCCATCCTGGAGATCAGAGAGGAAGCAAGAGTGGATCTCTTCATGAGGTGTCAGTGAAAGTAAAAAGATATCACCTCTTCTTATAGATTAGAAGATTTTGTAATCCCTTCAAAAAGAGAAATCTCAAATGGATGGATGGCACCAAAGATTTTTTTCTCTCTTTCCTTTTTTGGGGAGATATTGGTGAATGTCCTCAAAAAACCAGAACCAACATAACCATATATTTGCATGCATAGTAATTCTTTTGGGAGATGTAATACTCTGGAAATTGCCACTTTTCTCCATAGGACAAGACAAAGTCTTGATCACAGAAGGGATTTACATTACAGGATGCTTTGATTTGGAGGCAAGAGAGCACAGAACCAGAAGTACTGGAAAAAGAGCAATTGTGGAAAGTTAAATCATCAGTTGTGAACTTTTAGAGGTACAACATTTCTTTCCAACCTTGCCAAAGTTGTTTCAGCAACATAGACTGATCAGCTGCTTCTTTGTCCCTTTTACCCCTCCCTGACACCTTTAAAAAAACAATAAAAAACAAACCAGTGACTCTTTGTTCTAAGAGTCACCTGACAGTAACTGCATCTTTCTCACAAATGCTGTGTGTGTGTTGGCTTTCCTCCTTCCTTTTGGACTGTCTCTATTTGAGATACAATGTGTATCATGGTTTAATCCCCAATGGTGCAAAGGCTCTCACTCTTCCTCAGCCACAGAGGGATGTGGGAGAGAATCGGAAGAGTGAAAGTGAGAAGACTTCTGGATTGAAAGATAGTTCAATGGGACAAAGGAAATAATAATAATAATAATAATAATAATAATAATAATAATAATAATAAACAAGTGATGCACAATGCAATTGCTCACCATCTACTGAGCAATGCCCAGCCAGTTCCTGAGCAGCAGCCCCCAATCAACTTTCCCCCCAGTTAAACACTGAGTGTGATGCCATACAGCATGGGATATCCTTCTGGTCAGCTGGGGTCAGCTGTCTTGGCTGCTTTGTGTCCCCCAGTCTCATTGCTGGCAGAATATGAGAAGCTGAAAAGTCCTTTACTTAGTATAAATCTGGTTAGCAAAAACTAAAGCATCAGTGTGTTATCAGTTAGTCTCATACCTGATCCAAACCACAGAACTGCACTAGGTACTAGGAAGAAAATTCCCTGTATCCCTGCCAAAACCAGGCCAGTGTGAGACTGGAGCAGGAAATGAAGAAGGTCTAAGGTTGTGTGTACTCTAGAGTAAATGAGGGGGCAGCTGGCACTCTGACACAAGCATCTGGATTCCTTCACCATAATGTCCACTACAGGGAATTCCTCCAGCCTCCCAACTTCTGGCCTTCCCCAAATGTGGGCACGTTCCCCCAGGACTCATCCAGAGACATTCTTGGATGCTATCACCATCAGATGTGATATAATTTCCTTTCAGAGAGCTCTGAGAAGCGTAGGAGGGCAGTTCCTGCTTCCTCATTGCAAAGCAATTGCATTCAAGCCTGAGGTAAAGCACTGCACGACTTCTAAATCCAGAACCCTCCAGCCTGGGGTTAAACAACCCCTGTAAACCACTGGGCCATTTTCTACAAGGAAGAGTCATGACACACAGCTCAGGTTATCTAAAGTGGGTGAAAAGCCAGTTGTGGTTACAAATCTCCAAAACAAGATCTTACAAAGGGGAAAGACAAGGAAGAAATCTGTGAGGACCTAAAGGTGGAAAAAAATCTGAGAGGAGTTCTTACTCATTCTTCAAAGCTTTTCTGGTTTTCTGGACCCTTTGGACTTTACAAGCCACAAGATGGAAATAGGTTGGAGAAAATCAGGTAAATAAGGAAAACAAGAGATTTCTTGATGTTGCTACCTGTGTCACAAATGCTGAGAGGCTGATGACAAAAGCATTTAGCTCTGGGGTGTGCACTCTAAGGAGCTCAATCCCTACCAGCTGCCTCAGTCCTCAAGGCCTGAAGGAAGCAGATACCAGATATCACAGGCATTCCACCTTCCTACATAGCCTTTGCACCCTGTGTGGCTGGCCAGTAACCAGGCTCATTGAATCATTTAGGTTGGAAAAGACCTCTAAAAGCATCAAATCCAATAATTTACCCTGCCAAGTTCACCAACAAGCACATCCCCATGTCCCACATCTACAAATTTTTCAAACACCTCCCAGGGCTGTGACTCCACCACTTCCCTGAGCAGCCTGTCCCAGTGCTCAACAACATTTTTGGGGAAGAAATTTTTCCTGAGGCCATGATTTATCTGATATTAGCTGTCATCTGCAACCAAGGCCCATGGCATGAGGCACTGCACAAACACAGTCAGAGAGACTTTTCCTCAAAGATTTTTCAAGCTAAACAGAGAAGACAGCTGAATAAATTGCATGCAGACTCTCTTTAAAGAACCTGTCAAGCACCCTTTTGTAAAACCAGCTGTACTAAAACAGGGAAAGACCCCTGTAAAAATGATATTCCACCTCTTTTGCTAGATTCCTTGATGCAAAGCAGCTATATTTTGGCTCTATCTCATAATTACTGTCATTATACCATTGTTGGAACCCAGGAAATTCCTCTGGCTGCCCTGGAGGGCTCGAGCCCCTGCCCAGGGGACTCAGAGACCTTGGCACAGAGCCCAAGACCCCTGTGCCTTTGATTTAGCCCTTGGAAAAAACAATTACCAACCTTTATATGAAGAATTACAAGTCAAAAGAGTTTAAGTAGAATAATAGTTAGTTTGTCACGGGGTGAGAAATAGATTTTTGGAGTTTTTAGAATGGGGTTCAGGGGGCAAGATGGAGGAATCTGGGCATGTCCAGCCTCTCTGCTTCTTCTTCTTCTTCTTGGCCTCCATATTCTGCTGTGATATCGGCACTTTTAGATTAGTTTAGAGTAGAAGCTCACTGTCTAACATAGGTGATAGGTATTGGGAAGTTATGGTAAATAATGCACATGTAGTTTTAGGTATAAAAAGACAACACTGCCGTAAAGACAGGCAGTGTGCCTCATACCATCTGTGTATCACTTTAAATAATCTGCTTCCAACAACAGTGTGATATTACATAGATTCTGAACAAACCTTTCCTAATATCTAGTCTAAACGTCTCCTGGCACAATTGAGGCCATCTCCTGCCATCTCCTCTCGTTTGTCATTGTCACTAGGGAGCAGGGCCCGACGCACCCTCCTCCCGCCGCTCCTCCGAGCCACCAGGGGGCGCCACGCGGCGGAAGTGACGCTATTGTTTTCCTGCGGCGCTTCCCGAGGCCGCCATGGACATCCTGAAGCGGGAGATCAGCAGGAAGCGCCAGCAGCTGGAGGAGAAGGAGCTCCTGGGGGTGAGGGCGGCCGGCGTGGACAGCAGGAGCCACCCGGGCTGTGGTTGCCGGGAGGGGGGCGGCGGTGAGGCGGGAGCGGCCCGGGATGGGCCGGGTCAGGGGGCGGCCTAGGCCGGGATGAGCCAGGGTGGGATCGGGCAGGAGCCAGGAGGGGTTTGGGGCGGGGGCGCAGCCTGGCTTCAGCCTCGCTGTGTCCCATGGGCTTTAGTTTATTTCGGGCACCGGGAGATGAGAAAGGCAGTGCGAACTTTGGTGAGCAGAGTGCGGTTTCTTTGGTCCTTACAGCCGCGTTCTGCCCATACCCGGGCAGGGTCTGACAGTGTCTGTGTGTGCCTAAAAACCCCATACCCGGGCATGCCTGAGTGATGTGTGTGTGCCTAAAAAACCCCATACCCGGGCAGGGCGTGACAGCGTGTATGTACCTAAAAACCCCATATCCAGTCAGGGTCTGACAGTGTGTGTTTGCCTAAAAACCCCATACCCGGGCAGGGTGTGACAGTGTGTGTGTGCCTAGAATCCCCATATCCAGTCAGGGTCTGACAGTGTGTGTGTGCGCCTAAAATCCCCATACCCGGGCAGGGTCTGAGCAGGGTGTATGCTTAAAAATCCCACAGAGAGACAAACACAGTCAGAGTGTGACTGTATTGGTCTCTCTGTGGGGTTTTTACAGCAGAACCCCTTTCAGGGGTGTCTAATTTTGAGTTTTGGCATCAGAGGCTGAAGGAGGGAGCTGCAGTCAGAGGCTGTTGTACATCAGGCCAAACATGAGGGAAGAAGTTGTGGTTTGTACTAATCAAGGAAAATGCTTTGGGGTGACCACATTTTCCAGCTGTTGTGTGTCTGGGATGTCTTTTCAGGCACATTTCTACAAAGCTTCTCCAAGCAAGCTTATAAAATACTGTGTATAAAGGTGATCTCTCCCACCCCCTTGATTTAATGTCAAATCATGTGTTTAGTGTGATTTATCTAAACATCCTGGGCCTAGCTGTGCATGTCTGAAGTGCAGCTTTACACCAGAGACCACCAAGGCCTTACCTGACAAAAAACTTGGGTTTTCTAAAGTGCCGGCAAGCACGTTGTACTTTTAATTCTGCTTCTACAAATATCCTGCAAAGTAACTCTATATTGCTGATTTCAGAGGTGCTTCCAGCTAGGCATCTCTGGGAAAGGATGTAGCTGAATTCACCAAGCCAAGTAAGAAAGTTTGAGCCATTTTTGCTCAACCATGCAAAATTCTGAGCTGGTAACAACTCTCCTCTCTCTTAGGGCAATAAGAAATATTTCAAACGCAGTGAGTTAGCTAAAAAGGAAGAGGAGGCCTACTTCCAGAGATGTGGCTACAAGGTATGGAAATTGTTCTTCCAGCACTTGCTGTGTTTATTTTGAAGTCTGCATTTTATTTTTTTTTACCAACAATATCAATGTTGTTAATGATAATTGTTGTTCTTTGTTCAATCTGTTAATGTTATACATTAGCCTGTAAATGAGAAGCCACCTGGAGAGGTATGACTTTCCAAAACCATTTTCAATGCAGGAAAAGATATGCATGACATACAGCTACTTAAGTTTGTGTTATGGTTTGCCTTTTGTTTCCTTTTTTGTTTGTTTGTTTTTATTTGTGGAAAGCATGAAGTGGCTCGGGATCAAAGCTTGTCTTCCTTTCCTATGAAATTGTGTTGTTAGGCATGAACACTGGATCTGATATAGCCACCTTCCTCCCCTTACTGAGAAAAATGGAGACATTTGGATAATTTTATCCCATCTTCATTGTCAAAATGTCCAAAAGAAATCAGTATAGTGTGGGTGTGCATCAAAAAAGATTTGCCAACTCTCCTAAATTTGTATTTGGGTTTTGGCTATTAACCACCCAGCACTGAAGCTGTGCAACAACAGCAATTATGTTCTTGCTGGCCAAATATTAGAAACAATTGGTAACCTCGGGTGCATTTTGCAACAAATGGATGATCTGGAAGGCTTTGTCTGCCTTGTAATGGTGTCAGGGCAAGAGTTTCCTGAAATGGAAAGAATGTTGTTGTCTTTTCCAAGTGTGTGTGCCTGCCTGCCTGCCTGACGGGGTGTCTGGGAGGGGGATGCATTCCCTGGGGAAGGCAGTTTCATAATCTTGTTTGCTGTTAGAGGGCACAAATAGGAGCTTTGTTTTCCAGTGACCTTTACCCAGTCAGTGACTTATTCTGAAACCTTGATCTGTTTGTGCACATTTGAGCGTCGGTGCCAAAGCGATTCTGGAACACGCAGCAGAAAGTCCTGGGAAAGCTCTGGGGATCCAGCTGCTCCTCCAAGGGCACATGGCTGCCTGCTGCCTTCTGGGCATGAGCTGGAATTCTTCAGAACCTGATGGGTTAAAGTGGGGTTACCTGTGCTGCTGCTGCACAGCAGTTTGGGTGTGAAATGCAACCCTGACAATGGTTTTAAAATAAGTTACTTTGGTAAATTTTGTATCTTCTTAGAGCCTCCCAGATTTCTGCCTTGGTTCTTTACTCTGATAATGAGACATGGAACACAGACTGATTTCCTTTTAAATGCAGGTGCTTTTTTTACTTTACTTAGACTTAATAAGTTGGAATAATTTCACTTGCTTGAAGAAAGCACTGAAACAAAATAACAGTGGTAAAGATACTGCTTATAACTTGGAGTCCAGCTGACAGAATGGATCAAATCTTTTCTTCTGTGCTGCTATCTCTTTATGATTTCAAGAATGTTTGTAAGTTAAAATTTGTATCTGTCCTTCTGCTCTGGGACTGTATTTAAAAAAAAAAAATTTACACTTCTTCCATATTTTCTGTCCCCTGTCAATTCCTCCTTCCCTGCATTGATGGAAATTTTATTCCCCCCCTCCCTTTATGTGTTAAACATTGATTTACTTGTATTTCCCATGTTCATTCCAAACATCTTGTAGGATTGATTTTTTGATTTTTTTCTGTGTTTGCTAATACAGCATTGAATGTAGATTTGTACATCTGAAATTGCTGAATCTTGTAGCTGAGGCCCCAGGGGTGGATCCTGCCAGCCACATAGAGTCACACTGACACCTGAGCAAGGCTGGCACTGTGTCCTGAAAGAATAAAAAGCCTATTAAAATTTTAAAAAAAATTCTGTCCAGTAACTTCCTCAGATTGATCAACCCAAATACAGACTGAAAGAATAAAAAGCCTATTAAAAGTAAAAATACTTCTGTCCAGTACCTTCCTCAGATTGATCAACCCAAATACAGAAATACAAGCTGCCCATGCACAGGGAATGCTGCAGGCTGCTCTAGCATTCTTTGGATTGTTTCCCTTTTAACAAGTACAGAAAGGAAATAAATTAAGAATAATCAAGATATGAGTGAGCACTGAAGAGATTTCCTCATTATAGGAATATTACCACCAGCAGTCTGCTGCTGCTGTCAGAAATGTTGAATTTGAGCTTATACAGGGAGCTGTAGTTACATGGCTGCTGCCTCAAAGTTACTTTGATCAAAGAGTTGCTTTGCATTATTAAAATACTGAATAATGAAGAAGAGAGGCTCTCTTTGATTCAGGGACCTTCTTTTAGGCTAAGAGGAATCCTGTTCCTAGGAGGAGTTGTGTCTCTTTTCTTTTTTTTTGTTTTTTTTTTTTTTTTTTTACCTGTAAGAAGCAGGCAAGGTTGTTAGAGAGGTGCATTACCTAAAACAAGGTCGGAGAGGTGCATTACCTCTCAAACCCAACAGAAACTGGATCACTGCTAACTGTGCTGATCCTGTTGAAGCTGCAGGTAATAAACACTGTCACTGACCCTGGGAGAGGCAGCTCCACTCTCACCCTGCTCTGGAGTTTTCCTTCCTGTCCTTCTGTCTCTGCATGTGCTGGGAGCTGGATGGGGAAGTGAAGCAGGCTGGGAACAGTCCCAGTGTTTGTGTTTGTCAGAGTATTTTTTCTGTTTGAATAATTTCCCCCTTCTGGTTCATCACACGTTGATGCAAATGGTCTTGCATGGGTAGGAAGGATGGGACAGGGGCAGGAATCAACAGGCAGAGGGTGGATTTGTTATTTTTGGCAGCAGTGCTGGCAGCTACCTGCTGAAGTGACAGCCAAACTTCAGCAATTGTCCTTTCTGTTTGCTGGACAGAGTGCTTCCTGCAACCTGCAGAAGTGTTATTCTTGATATTATCAAGAACTTTTATTGTTTTGTAGATGCAATTGTGGACTATAAAACCATAAAACTATGAAACTAAAGGTTTATTTAGTCATACTAAAGTCTGTGTTCCAGAGTTCTCTATCTTGCCATCATTTCTCATCAATCAATGTGTGGGTTTGTTTCATTGCACAGGAGTAACTTTGTCTGTTGAATGTAGGTACAGCAGCAGGAAGAGGAGGAGAAACCTCTGGCTACATCAAATCCAGTGCTGGAACTCGAACTGGCAGAGGAAAAGTTACCAATGACTCTTTCCAGACAGGAGGTAAAGTCAAAAACCATAAACTGACTCCTTGAGTTTACAGCAAATGCACCTGAAATTTCTTGTTAGGGCTGTTCCATCCAGTGAGCTGTGCTTTTTATGGCAGTTTTATGTAATAATAAGCTTCCATTTTTGCAGTTAGCAATCATTGATTATCTTTGCTTATCAGGGCTCTGCTGTCCAATTGAATGTATAGGGAGGTGCAGATGGGTAGAGCCTCTCTGTTACAGGGATTTACACAGATATTTTATAACATTTTACAGCTCTTTCAGAGAGATACCCTGAATATCAGCATTATTCTTGGATAGCACTGAAGATGGCATGTTGACTTTTTCCAATATTTATTTTTCCCTGAGCTTCTTTTCTTTGTAACTTGTTGGTCTGAGCACAAATGTAGAAATCAAGTTTTGGAAGTTCACTTTGGACTCTAGAAGAAACAGTCCTAAAGGCAGAGCAGCTGGGATGTTCTTTGCCTTTTCTAAGGGTAAAAATGCCTGTGTGGATTTAAGTTCACAAACAGATCCACACCCCAGAGCAGAAACAGGAAGTTCAGAAGTACAGAATACACTCTAATCTTGGAAATACTGAAATTCACAGCTGAGGTCATCCAAGCATGTCACACCTCCCCTTAATTTGTCAGGATATTCAGGTTTTGTAATGGGGGTTGTTGGTTTTTGTGTTTGGTTTGAGGTTTGAATTGAGTTGAGGGAGGCTTTTTCCCTTCTGTTATAGTTACTTTTAAAGTAACTACCTAGATATAGATAGTTACTTTTAAAGTAACTATCCCATTAGATTTTGGGACTTCATATTTCCCAGATGTTTAAAGATGGGGGTTTTCAGCAGATCATCTCCTAGCTGTGCTGGGACAACCTGCAGCCCAGCTCTTATTTTTATTGCCAAGACAAATAGGTGAGTGAGATTATTGTCAAGTTCCTTTGTGATTTTGAAAATGGTTTTTAAGCTCTGCCAGAGGGATGATTTTTGTGTATTTGTTTAAACAAGTCAGAGCAGGAAGAAGTTTGGCTGGATCAGCCAGCCTGGGATTTTATGCAAAATTTGGATCAGTAATATTTGGAATGACCTTTTACTGAAATACCGTGGGAATTTTATATTTAGATTGTAAAGTGTCTGGAACGTTTTTTGACTGCTTAAAATATTGCCATTTCCTCTCCAGTCTAGCTCAGCTTGTTATTCTAAGCAAAGTAAATAAATCTGTCATTCTGGATTTTATTTTGCTTCCTTTATGTGTCAGGGAGTGCTTTGATTCTTTTCAGGTTATCAGGAGGTTACGAGAGAGGGGTGAGCCCATCAGGCTCTTTGGAGAAACAGATTATGATGCATTTCAACGTCTGAGGAAGATAGAAATTCTTGCACCTGAAGTGAACAAGGTAAGCCTGGCACTTAGTAACTTATTCATGGTGTAAGTAACCCTAGAAAAATTACTGAAAATCATTTTCAGTAGCTGTTAATTTTCAGGAGGAGGGGGTAATAGACAGCAAAGAGAATATGGGCTCTTGTCTCTCTTTTTTCTTTTTTTTTTTTTCCTTTTTCTCCTTTTTTTTCCCCTGAGAAACTGTCAAATATCAGAGTTTTCTGCACAATTCCAATTAAGTTACAGAGTTCAGCCCTAGAAACCTACCAGCCCCTTGTCACTTGGAAAAGGGGCTTTCAGGTGGCACTAATATCCCAGCTTGTTCTGCCCCTGCCTTTTAATGAGCAGAGAATTTACTGTTAAAATAATCCTGTGTTTATTATTATGTGCACCCCTGAGAAGGCACAGGTAAGTAAGAGCAGGACTGCATACTGTCTTTTTAGGATATAAATGATTTTTCAAATCCTTGGATTCCAGAGCTATAACTTGTTGTGGAAGTGTCATTTTCCCCCCTTCAATTTAAAGTAGCCATCAACTCAAAAACTGACCTGAAGTTCTAATTAATTTCTTCATTTTGTCTTAAGGAATGATCAGTTAAGTGAGGAGATACAATTGAGGTTTGTTTTGCATTCACTGTTAACCACATTTACAGCCTTACTAACAGAGTGACAATTTGCATTTTCTTCCCTAACTTGTGGCAAATGGAATTGTTTTAAATGTCTTTCCTGGGACTGCCCATAAAAGGGAAGCCTTTTCCTCTCCAAGTCTTTAAAATAAAGATAAACAGATCTGGAAATAAAAGCTCTGCTTATGAAAGCTTCCCTTCCAGGGACATTGATCACAGCAGCAGGATTAGGAAATAGAGAGCCCATAAATGGGGTTGTGCTGGATTTTTGTTCCATGTTTCAGTCACTCCTGCTGCTGTCTAGGGGGATTCTGGATGTTGCTTAGTCAATCAGCCTTGTGGTTCAGACATTTTTAGAGTAACTAAATGATTAATAGAAATGCTCCAGACAGCTAAGTATGATGATGGAAGAGAGGAAGTAACTGTGCATATCCATTCCCTGTGGAGTAGCTGAATTTATCTGAGGGTAGGGAATGTCATACTCCTTTATAAAGCTGTATATTTTATGTCTTAAGATGAGAAGGCAAATCCTTCAACTGTGGTTAAAGTGAGTTTTGTTCTATTTGAAAGGTTCTATTTGAAAGAACCTTTTAACTTTATATATGGTTTTAAACAGATTCTGGATTTTTAGTCACCTCTTCTAAAGTTGAGGGTTTTAAACAGTGAATCTATAGAAAACATTCTGCTATATTTAAATAATTTGTAATAAAAGGAAGCAATATTATTGTTTTATGTCTGGCACTAAAGGAGTGAGAGCTCTTTACAGCTTTTTTCAGGGCAGATGGGAGGACTTGTAGAGCTGATGATGGTTATGGTCTGGTTTTCATTTGTTTTGGGGTGGTTCAGTGCATTGCTTGGAGAAAATGACTTGAAGAAAGTCCTAGAGGCTGATTCCATCCTCCAGGCTTTTTTTTTTTGGTGAAAATACTGTAAAAATATTTTTCATAGGTATGAGCACTTCAGAAGTTCATGCACCTGATTTTTGTTAAGTGCTGAAGCAGAAACTGTTGTTGGAGTTCAGTTAAATTCAAGCAACACTAAACCCTTATGTGTGTTTTTACAAAATTTGCACTTGAAATAGAAGTTAGATGCTCACATTGACAGTTCTGAATTGCTTTTATTTACTTGAGGGTTTTTTTATAAACCAGTCTCTCTTTTTTTTTTTTTTTTTCTTTTTTCCTGTTTCCTAGGGCTTGAGAAATGACCTGAAGGCTGCTTTGGATAAGATTGATCAGCAATATCTGAATGAAATTGTGGGTGGCCAAGAAGCAGGAGATGATGACTCCCAGAATGACCTGAAGGTCCATGAGGAGAATACTACTATTGAAGAACTAGAGGTATGGGATAGGTCATAACTAAGGGGTGTTAATTGTGGTATGTTGCTGTGAGGACGCTTCAGGATTGTTTAGACAAAGTTGTCTTCTTTTCAACAGCTGATTTAGGTATTTTGAAGTATTCTTAAGGAAAAAATTTACAAATGAAAACTCAAGTGGTCTTTGTTTACAACACTTCATCCCAAAGGGGACAGTGCCTGCAAAGACAGTGATACAGTAAAGATTCATTCTCCAGGATTTCAGAAGTAGAGAATTTAATTCCAGTACATTACCTAGTCATAAATGCCAAAGCCTTTCCAATAAATATTTTTGAGGCTAATAAGATCAGTACCAATTAATTTTCCCTCTACAAGGAGGAAGGACTGAAAAATAGATGCACAGAAAGAACATTTGATATAAAATCATCTAGGACCAAAAAAATAAAAGAGCATCAGAAGGAGGCAGACCACAGGAAATATAAATGCAGACATAATGTGTCCCAAAAACTTGAGTGCAAGTGGCTGCTCTGTTCTGAAAGAATCCTGTGGTGTTTGTGTGAGTAAGTGCCAGGAAATGCATTCAGCACCTGGTATTTCAGGATAATGTCTTGCAAAGCACATTAACTTGAGCTGAAGACTTTTACCCTTAATCTTCAAAACTCTTTGCAGGAGTTAATCTTCATAACATCCTTCCAAAAGTGTATTTAAGAAATAATAAGATTTATAACTGAAAGTTGAAGTGAATACATTATTATTAAAAAATAGTCTGGGTTTTTTGTTGTGGTGCCAGGGGTTCTGGTTTAAAATTATTGCAGTACCAGAGTGGATAGCAGGAGTTGTATTGGACTCGAATTTTATTGATATGTTAGCTCTTAAAATAACCCCTTTTTGTGGTAGTAGGGCAGGCTTGGTTAAAGCCATGCAAACAATCTTTTTCTAAGTTTGAAAACACTGCATCTTAATTTTATGTTACTTCAGCTGCATTGCCTTGAGCATGAAGGCTTACATTGAATTTGATTCCAAATCTAGGAGATTTTTAAAAATAAAACTCACTTTGAAAACATGAGGGCAATGGAAATTGATTATAAATGGAACTATTCCTACTGGAAAATGTTTATAAAACTTACTGTTAGTATTTACAGTTTTGAGGTTTTGGTAGGATGGTGGAGAATTGGAGCATACAGCTGGGCTTTTTTAGTGGTTTGTTGCTAGGTTTTGGGGTTTTTAAAAAAATCTGTTCCCTCAAATTCACAGTTGCAATTAAATGATAAAAAGCCCCAGTACATCAGAGAATTGAAATAGCATAACACAATAATTAGGTTAATTGATGGCTTTGGGGATCTCAAAAAATGCAATGCACCCACAGTTCCCCTTAATACAGTGCAGTCAGAAAGCTGCTAATTATGCCAATAATTTAGTAGTAATGACTGAAGAATTACTGTTGCATTGACTTTTCAGAAATAATCATACTGCCCTTGTGATGTAAATGTTTTTAGTAGATTAATGAATTTCAGTAGCATTTGTAGCTGTCCCATGACCAGTGTTTGGGATTTCTTGTGGAATTTATTGCAGTTTGTGCAATAAATTCCACAAGAAATCCCAAACACATGGTTCATGCAGTGAACCATGCTCTGCTGTGGTGGTGCTGCCAGACTAGACAAAGTGGAAATAATTGTCCTTTTTTCCCCTTTTCCAGGCTTTGGGAGAATCCCTAGGACGGGGTGATGATCACTATGATATGGACATCATAACCAAGTTCTTGAAGGTAACAAACTCAAATTATTCTGTAGTTCTGTCATATTATTACTGCCATGCAGATGCATTTCAAGAATAGAAGGATGGGTTTCAGCTGCTTGAGGGGAAAATCTCTCCTGTTATGTGTAAGATGTGGGTTTTTTGAAATGCTTGGCACTCCACAGCTTTTGTTAGTCACAACAGTGGCTTGTGCCAAATCTGGGAAAGAGCTCTTGGGAGAGCAGCATTCTTCAAAATCTGCTCCTGCTTTTCCAGACAAAATAAATAAGGTTTTGATTTTCGTGTGATATTTGAGGCAGTTGTCTGGAGCTGCCTCTGTGTGGTACTGTGGCATCAAAACCTGTGGAGGAGTTTCCTTGGAACAAACTGAATTGGAATGTCACCTAATGCTGGTAGTGAAATTAGAGACTTCTAAAGGAAGTCCACAGGTTCAAGTGGATGGCAGGAAATTGTTTCCTGGCAAGAAAGCTGTGTTGCCTCTCAGCTGAGTCAGCCAGTGCCTGTGAAACTGTTGTGGGAATCAAAGTCACAGCAAGAGCTGGAGCTTTAATTTGTGTGTGTACATTTAAGACAAGAGAGTTGTTCCTATCCCTCTGAAAAAGGTTTAACCTTCCTAACTCAGCATTCTCCAAAAAAAAAACCCTCGCCTTGCCTTGCTGGCCTAGCCCTGTGTTCTGTCAGTAGATGGCACCATGACACAGATGTGTTTGCTCCCTGCAGTTCCTCCTGGGAGTCTGGGCCAAGGAGTTGAATGCCAGGGAGGATTACGTGAAGCGGGGCGTGCAGGGGAAGCTGAACAGCGCCACCCAGAAACAGACCGAGTCCTACCTGCGGCCGCTCTTCAGGAAACTCCGAAAAAGGGTGAATCACTCTAAATGCCTCTGCTTTGCTTCCCAAGCACCCAGCATCAGGGCCCCTTCCAGGAGAGGGGATAAGTGAATTGGTGACAGTTTCTGTATCTGCAGCTCCTGACACCCAGTTCTGGTTTTATCTCAGTCAGTGAAATCTGCCCACTCACTGCTTTTCCAGCTGTTTAAAGCAGCACCTGCTCCCTGGGTTGCAAACATGACAGAAAATTGGGGTTGCATTTTGCACTTTGGCATCAGCTACCAGGTGTAACCACTTAACCTCTCCTCTTCAGATCCTGCATCTGAATAATGAACATGTTTTCCTTTGTGAAACTCCTCAAGCAAGGGTGGTTGCTAAACTTTGCATAAATGCTGAGTAAGATGATTTTCCTGGGCTGCTGTTCTAAAATAAATGTCTTTTTTTTTTTCTTTTCCCTCTCTCTTGTAGACACTTCCTGCAGACATCAAAGAATCAATAACAGATATTATTAAATTTATGTTGCAAAGAGAATACGTGAAGGTATGTTTGTTTGTACTTTTCCTTTTGTCATGTTCACGCTGCCTGGTTGTAAAAGATTGAGTTTATTGCTTCAGCATTCCCATATTTTTTTTAATTTTGAAGATGCATAGCTGGAAATACAACATCTATCCCAACAAAATGAAAAATGGCTGTGAAGTGTTAGGCTCTAAGTAGTGTTTGATCCACAGCCTGACAGAAGAGCTTTTGAGGTTCATGAAACTGCACAGCTTTGTAAACATGAAGAAAATTTTTCTCAGAGATGGGTATATTAAGCTGCAGAGGCATTCCTCAAGGAGAAACCTGATGTTCTAAGGTTAAATGAAGGTATTTAATAGTAATAGGGTGTTGATGATTAATTAATTAGGAATAATTGAGGCAAACTGAGTTATTGGATATGAGGCCCTGTCCCTTTCTTTGTCTACACTCACATTAAGTGGCCTGGTAAAGTTGAGGTGAGTTAATGAGAAGATTTTTTGGATGAAGTCTGCTCACTGCAGGAGGCAGAAGTACTTTGGGACACAAGATCAAAGGCAGTATTAGGTTTTATTTGTAGCTGCTTCAGAAATGAAACTGAAATACCAACAGCATTTGCTGAAGCAGCTTGTATATGCAGAGGAAACTGAGCTGTCTTTTGCCTTCAGATTTCTAGTATTTCTTACTATTCTTGTAAGGATTTGACATAATTTGTCAAGTAAGCAAGCAAACCTTCTTTTGATGCTGAAAAAAACTTTGTATGGCCTAAGGCAAATTTAATCCAAATCATTTGGAAGCAGAACTGAACACGTGGGATGTGTGATAGTGGGAATTTATTTCGAAGCATTTTTTTCTCTTGGTTGTCATCATTATGTGGAAATTCCCTTTCCAATACCTCCTCAAACTAATGAGCATGCAGGAATGTGGTGTATCTCTGGGTTAATCAGCAGTGCTTCTCTCTCCTGGAGGTGCTTGCTTTAAGTAAACTTCACAGAGATTTTGGATGACTTGAGTACACATTTGGATGTTTTGTTTTTGTTTTTTTTACATTAGGCTAATGCTTTTACAGATACTCACATCCTTTTCAATTTTACTTTCTAGGAGACTTGCTTCTTTTTGCCTACTTTGTTTTTCTGTCTCTTTTTGCCTGCTGCTTGCTTTGTGCACCCTAGTGAATACTGTCAGCCACAAATTCTTGCTGCTTTGTTAGTTGAAAAGCTTGGAAGATTTTAATTTTGAAATCAAGTTAACAGCAGGCAAATGCCAGAATTCAAGTTGTCCACTCAGCCTTAATTAACTCTGTTGTGACAGTCCTTCAAGGGTCTTTAATTGCTTGTTCACACACTGTTTCATCACAAAAGTATATTTGAGTCACCAAGAGGGTATTTCACTAAGATTGTTCAGATTCTGCCTCATGTAGGTGATGACTAAGCTCTGTCCTCTCCTCAGATTTGTTTAGGTCTGTCTGCCACCCCTGCCTTGTTCATTATTCACCTCCCAGTCTGTTCAGTGCTAGCTGGAATGAATCTGCAGCCACTGGTCATGATTGCTGCTTCTTATTGTCCAGCTTCTGAATAGGAGGTGATAAATGAACTCCTTATCAGTGAGTTTTGTAGCTGCTCTCTAATAGAGAAGGAATGCCCTGTTCCATGTCCTTCAGGTTTTTTCTGTAATTGTATCTGTCACTTGCTGGTTCTCAGTTGTTATGTTGGGTTTTTTTCAGCTGTATAATTCTCTTCCTTTCTGTCTTTCTTTCTATTAATTTTCCCTTTGAGCTTTATCCCTGTTTTTCCCCAGGAATGTTGTCTGTGTACAGCTTTAAAACAGGATCTGTGCTCTTGATGGGGAAATTCCTGATTGATTTCCTGCTGCTACTGCTCTGGGTTACAAATATAACCTTATTTAACCAGAGATGGTTGAGTTGAAAATAATCCCAGTAAACCTTAGTTTTGGTCAAGATAACCAGACTGCCTTATCCAGTTCTTTTTTTTTCATGAGGGACAGTGCACAGACCTTGCTTCCCTCAGAGTTTCACCTGGGAAGGTGCGTTGTGTAGTTGGTGACGCCAGATCAGGGACACCAGATCAGGGACACTGGAATGGAGCTTTACCTGCAGCTGGCAGTGCAGAAATGCTTGGTGTGGTGCTCAGTGGTGCCTTTCCCTCCAGGCCAACGATGCCTACCTGCAGATGGCCATTGGGAACGCCCCCTGGCCCATTGGCGTCACCATGGTCGGCATCCACGCGCGCACAGGACGTGAGAAGATCTTCTCCAAGCACGTGGCCCACGTGCTCAACGATGAAACTCAGAGGAAATACATCCAGGTAATGGCAGCTTTGGAAATCCAGCAGGTTTTCTTGTCTAGGGGGGTCTTTGAGAAACATCCATGTCGTGGTATCATCAGGTGATGTGGTATCAGGTCCCAGAAATGGACAGGTTTAGTTTGTGTCAAGCAGAACATCCCGTTAACAGCAGCTCATCCTGGACCTGGAGGCTCCTCAGTGCTGGGCCAGGAACAGTCTCATGGGTTTTTCTGAACTGCTGTGATCCTGCATGGGCACCAAAGCAGCTCTGGAGACAGGCTTGATTCTCCTGAGGCCTCTCACTGCTTAACTCGTGCTTTAAACATGCACAGAATTTAATATTGTAAAATTCAGTCCTACTGACTATTTCTGCAACTAATATGTAATATACTAATATATACTATGTACTAATAAATATATTATACTATAAATATACTATAATAAATAATGTATTATATACTAATATATACTATATACTAATAAATATACTATAAATATACTATAATAAATAATATACTAGATACTAATATATACTATATAGTAATATACAATAAATGCATTCATTAATAAGTTCAGGAATCTGGGCTCAGAATTCCAGGTTTAGTTCCTCCTGGGCATCTTCATATTCCTGTGGACTTCTGGTTGTGGAAATAGTAGCAGTGCTGGTTTTCTGCTCTGTCCTTTCCACACAGTGGGTGACAGGTCTGAAGAAACAAGCCTTCTCTCTTGGTATTGGTAAATGTGTTTGGCTTTTGCCAGTTGCCATTTCATTGAGATAAAAAAAACTTTCTGGGTTAACTCTGAAGCCTCCAGAGCAGCATCATGGAGCTCAGAGCTCCTGGTAGGGGAGATATTTATAAATGTCTTCCTTCTTCAGCAGCAGGACTCCTGTTGCTTTTCAGCTTCTGCAGATGTCTGCAAGGAAATTGATTGCAAAATGCAACTTCCCCTTCTGCTCTGAGTCTCTCTGTATTTGGGCTATAAGCATAACCTTTGGTTTCTCTTCAATTCTAGTTTTTAATAAAATAACCTGAAAAAAATCATTGTGAAGTCACAGGGGCCTCCAGACACTTACAAAGACAACAAATTAAATTTGACCAATTATTTTGTAAGGTGAAAATTGGCATGTGGATAATGCATCTTCAGAGACAGACTCCAGTTATGCTTGGAAGTATTTAATGGATGAAATAGTTTTAAACCAAATAATGTTGTTGTGATCTGTGTCATAATGGTGAATAATTCATAGAATAATTTATAGAATCACAGAATGGTTTGGATTGAAAGAGACTTTAAGAGGCTGTCAAGTTCCAACTCCCCTGGCAGGGGAACCTTGCAGACCAGGCTGCTCAATAATTGGCTTTCTCTGTCCATTTGCCACTCCTGGGCAGAAGGATCTCTGCTCCAGAGTGTTGCTTGGTCTCTCTTAACCTTGTGGGAGATGTGTGTGAATTCCCCAGTTTGTCCCTTCTCTACTTTTGGGGCTTCCTCTGTTGGCCAAGGAAATCCTTGAGTTCATCTTCCCACTGGGAATTTCATACCTCTGCTTCTAAATTACTCAACTCCAGCAGCACCAAGACAGAGTTGGCTTTAAACATGTATGTTCTTCATATTTAAAGATATTTGGGTCTTGTTTGACAAATTTGGTTCAAAGTGGAGCATGGGATATTTATTACCTGTGCTCCCAGCGGCTGCATGAAGGAAACTTGTTTCTGATTGCAGCACTCTGGAGGGAGAACATCCCAAACAAGGAGTCATTGTGGTGCTGGACAGACTTTCCATGCTTGCCTGCATGAGAAGGGCCAAAGCACCATCCTGGGGAATCATTTTTCCCTGGGTGAGGAGCTGCCTTCCATGGGGAGAGTCTCATGACAGGGACATGACTCTGCCATCCTGGAGTGCAGTGTCACTGCTCAATTACACCCCCACCACAGCATTGCCTTTCTTCTTTGTTAGACTTTTCTGTGTGACTTGAAAGAAAATAATCACAGGGTTCCTGTCAGGTTGGTTTTTGGCAATTGATGCTTTGGAAGAACTGCAAAGTCCACATTCTGCCTTTCTCCTTGATTGCTTCAGTTTGCCTCTGTGATGTCCTGTGTCCACAGTTCTCCTCCTGAGAAGTGTTTGGTTCTTGTCTTGGCTCTCCAGCTTGTTTTGAAATTGCTTTTTGCTCTTTAGAATTAATTTTAATATTCAGCTTTCTTGTAAATATCTTTAGTTATGATATAATTTGTTCCCTTGGTGATAAAGAGGGATTAAAGAATTGCTGTGACCCTTCACTGTGAATCATACCAGGTGGGCTTGAAGCCTTTTTGATTATGCCACAAACTTCTCTAATATTGAAGAGAACCTCAAACTTTAAACAGAATAACTACCAAAATAAAAATCCCAGCCTTTTCTTTTTAATTCTTCTTGTTAAGCTTAATAATACTGTAGGCTATTAAATTTGTTCAACAGCTGCATCCTTATGACAGAATTGTCCTTGTTTTGTTACTTCCCAGGGGCTGAAGAGGCTCATGACCATTTGCCAGAAGCACTTCCCAACAGACCCATCCAAATGTGTGGAGTACAACGCTCTCTGAGGCTCTGCTGGGACCCATTTTGGGCTCCAGCACCCAGAGAGGATGAAGAGGCAAACTCTGAGCCTGAACACCAACAAGAACTTGGGGTGGGCTTTGCCAAAAAAGCAGAAAGGAGGATTTTTTTTTTTTTTTACAGCTTCCTTTTTCCAAGCCCCATTTAGTTAGGTTGATTTTGAAATCTGTGCTTTTTGCTGAACACATCCAGCAGAGGAATGGGTTTTGAAGAGTGTAAGACCAAGACAATGACCAAGGGACAGTACACATGACAACTGCTTTTATTTCAGTTTGTTATTCAGGCAACTGTGCAAATTGAACTGTTTCCCATATTTTAGAGCTTTAGATGAGTCTCAGCCCTGCAAGGAGCATATGTGGAGCTTTTTTTGGCTGCTTTTGCATTGGAGACTGATGTGGGGAGATGATTAGAGGGAAGCAGTTGAATCTGAATCTTGGTTATTTCTGTAAATATAAAGACTTTATTGGCTAATCTTTCATGTGGTATTTATCAGGAATAAAAAAAAAGGTTTATATATTTCTCAGCCTCAGTGCAAAGAGTTTTTGATCTTGAATGCATCTGATTTGGCTTTTTATTTTTTTTGGTAACGACATTTTTAATATAAACCTTCTGGGCTTGGGGGAAGTAATCTTATGGCTCTTGAGGCTTTCAAATTCCATTTTTATACATCTGGAGAAAATTTTCAATCTGCTGGGCATTGCAGAGAAAATAATTAGGACCTCCCATGACCATGAACAGTATTTCTAGCAGCCACAAATCTTTACCATTGTGTATCCTGACTGGGGATGGTGAGGAAACTCATGGGAACAGTGATGTCTAATTCTGCATGAACAGTGAAATATTGAAACTTTGTTAGTTTTGAGCAGAAGAAATGTGTCACTATTGCATTGAATGGGTTTGTCTGGGTCCTCACCTCAGCTGGGAGCAGAACTGGAGCCCTGTTCCCAAGGGGTGACCTGTGTCCCTTGGGTGTTCCCGTGTCCTGTGGCACAGTGAGGGATGCTGGGGGATGTGAGCTGGGAGGAGTATCTTGGACAAATTCAGGTTCTTCTGAACTCTCACATTCTGAAGTGCTTCTTTGGACACAGATTTTCAGTCTGGACTGTTTGACCCCAGAGAAAATGTCAAGAGTTTAGAAGTAATAAAATGAGGCTAATGAGACCTGGCTTCTCTTGGGGGAAGGGCCTTTGGGGAGGAACTGGGGATTTGTGGGGAGCAGATGTCAAGAGCATGGAAGAGTTTCATTAACATTTCTGGTGATTTTCTTTGAAGTGCTCTGTGCAGATACTCTTTGAGGGCGTTATTACAGTGGAAACGTTTGTAACACTGCAACTTTATCCCTCTCCCCACCCAGACGGTTTCCTGAACTGTTTCTAAATCTTTATCTTGACCTTAGTTTTGAACTCTGTAAATAATTTAGGGACAATATTGTCCCTTGTTCAGAGGAGCTGTAATTTCCCTGGAAGCTGCAGCGAGTGAGTGGCCAGGAGATGGTTTAAGGAGCATTGTGTCATCTGCTTTAAGGGAAGCAGATTCCTCAGGGGATCTGTAATAGTGCTAGATGGATTTTCCCTTCCTGCCTTGGAGCTAATTATTGAGAATTTTAATGGTACCCTGAGTGCTGGTTTGAGTGGGGATGTGCCTCCTGTAGGGATGTGAATTTGAGGCTGGAATGTCTTGGTCTGATCAGGTTTTAAGGAATGCAGCTGAAGGAATGTTGCTCCTTGCTGACAGTCCCTGAAATACAGCTTGAGTGAATCCCATGATGGAAGAACTTTATCCCCTTGCAATCCCTGGAATGGTGCTGTGTGGGGAACTGAGGAGCTGGGAACTGCTTTCTCACGGCATATCAGGGTAAGAATTTCCAGCTGTCCAGCACGTGAGAGCCAGCTCTGGTCCTCAGGGGCCAGGGGCCAGGGGGACACTGTTACAGCAGCTGCTTTTCATCATGGCTTGGAGGCTCCTTGCAGCTGGATGGCCCCAAATTGCAGCTACCAGGCCGTGATCAAATAGTTAATAATGCCTCTTAGCCAAAAAATCCCAACCCTCAGCCTAGTCCAGGGAGGGGTGGGTGTGGTGCAGCTGTCACACTGCTTGACAGTTTGGGTTTTTTTTATTTTGTGGGAAGGGTATGTTTCAGTTTAGCAATTGACTTTTCCCTCTAGGCTTTTCCAGATGTTTATTTCTGATAATTCCTGCATTAGGCGGAAATAACTCTGCTCAATCCTAAGATTGCAGCCTTAGGATGAAGTCATGAGTTCACCATGGTGGGGTCTGGAGTGGTTTTGGGACTTCAGTTTTGGGACTTCAGTGCCCCTGGGCATTTGCTGCAGTCCCTGAGCCTTCCCCAAGCCTGGCTGTGGAAGGGCCTGTGCAAGGTGAGCCCTAAAGCCATTGGTACCTGCCCGGTGCTGGTGTTATTGTGCCACATGAAGACAGAATGGGCAATCACAGAGTGACACAACCCCTTATCTGGAGCCCCTTAGACCCAGGATGCTGCAGAAAACCACATTGCTTGGATTTTATTATGGCATTTAGGTGGGAAAGGAGACAAAAAGCCCAAAGCTGAGTTTTCCCAAGCTGTGAGACCATTCACCCAGGGAATTTCCAAAGATTATTGAATGGTGGGGGGTTTGTTTCTGACAGAGCAGAACAGAAGCTGCTGTGATGTCAAATGGCCAAAGCATTTGCTTGGGTATTTCTTTTCTCTATGAACCACCTTTATGATGATTTTGCTGTGGAATTTTTATTTTTATTGGATAAATGACCTTTTTTCTTGTAACTTCTTTTTGTCCTCCATGGGGATGCAATCAGGTTATTATAATTTTTTAACAGTTACAAAATTCAACACTTGAACTCATTTGTTATTCTATTATATTATTTTTTAACACTTTTTTGTTGTTGTTTGAAGCTGAGCCATGCCTTCAATTCCCTATTTGCTGTTTGTGCTGCTGGGATGGTTGTTGGGGTAGGGGGGTGGGATCAGTTTAATGGAGGAACAGGAGGTGCTGGATGGGGGAGAGGCTCCATGGACAGTGGGAATAAATGGAAGGAGCAGGAAGCACTGAAGTGTGGGAGCCCCATGGGAGACTCTGTGGCTGCTGGAAGCTGCCTGTGGTTTTGAGGGGTGGCCAGAGGGGCCACAGAGGGGACACCAGAGATGTCAGTGATGTCCCCAACGCTGTGCAGGGGTCACTGCTGCCCTACTGAGCCAGCAGGGAAGTCACTGCTCCCTGGGGAAGTCACTTCCTTGGAGCAGGGGGAATGTGCTGGAGCTGCAGCCTGTCCCACAGCTGCTGGCATTGCTGAAACAGCCTTGCAGCAGCTTGGTCTCCAATCCCTGTAAGTGAATTAATTTTAGTTATTTCCAGTTGTGTTTTGGAAGTGAATATTATTTGTGACTTTGCTTCCCACACTGGTGGGACATCAGTCACACTCCTGGTCCTCCTGGGCCCCTGGGCCAGTGCTTGGGAGAAGATGGCATGGATCTGCTGGGTGCTGAATCCTGAGGCATCTCTAAAGGAGAGTTTCTGGGGCTTTTCTGGGGGAGTTCCAGTGTTCCCTGCAGTCAGCCAAGGAGCAGGTCCCTCAGGGACACCCTGGCCAGCTGTGCACACATCTGGAGCAGCATCTCTAGCAGGGGTGAGGATTGCCTGGGCTCTGCCCTCCCAAAGAGACCAGGGCAAGGTTTCATTTTGAAAATGCTTTAATAAGGAAGTGTTGACAACACCGTTTTGCAAAATGTAAAGGTAACTATACAAATTCTTAATACAAAAAGAATAAATTAAAAGCAGATTTTTTTTAATTCTGCAACTTTTTCTACAACATACATATTTTTTTCCTTGATTACAGTTGAACAGAATCCAGTAAAATCATTTTCCATGCTCTAAAGTCAATTTCAGGAGAGACCTAATTTTTTCTTTTTTTTTTTTTTTTCCTTTTTTTAAACTAGAGAGTCCATTTTACACAACTTGTAATAAAACTATTGACATTAATATATATGTAAAACTTTACATCTAGTTAACTAAGCAGTAACTGGTCATCTGATAGCACCTGAATGGGGATTGGCTATGCCTGAAACTAAAACTAATACAGAGTGAAAACAAATTGGACTGATTCAACATTTTCCACACTCGACTGCATATAATATCATTTAAAAATAAACCCTGCCTCCCAGCACAGCCCCTGCAGGGGCTGTCCCCTGGCTCCTGCCCACACAGAGGGAGTGTCAGACACAGAGACTGAACGTGGTTGTGGCTTTATGGCAGATGGAGCCTTGGAAAATAAAAAGTAAAGGAGGGGTTAAGTTGGTAGTCAAGTGCTTGTCTATAATAGCTATGTATATGCCCCTCCGTGTTATACTTAAATATGTTAATCTCATATGATTAACATTTTATGTACATTTGTGTTTAATTGAATTGAGCTAAACAGTAAAACCTGTTTTACTTAATCTGTCTTTACTACCAGACTGGCTGCTCACATGTGCCTTGATTGCAAACCAGAAAAGCAGAACACAAAGCAAAACTCAATCCGTTTCTAGAAAGCTTCTTCTTCCACTCCAGCCTGTTTGCAATTCAGGCTAAATAATTTGATTTCTCGCCCCTAATTTCAGGGCTGCCACCTTTTAACCTTTGCTGCAAAACTGCAGAGCTGGTCTTGGAGGAATTAATGTTTCTTCCTGTAGTGCCCAGAGGCCTCATAGTGCCGCTGTTGTTGAATTCTTTTTAATTAAAAGAAGGTACACAGAAAAAAAAAACAAACCCAAACCACTTACCAGGGAAATTAAAAAGAAAACAGACAGTTGCTCAGAGCCCCTAAAAATCCTTGGGCTAAATTATTTGTTGTAGCTTAATTTGGTCCTTATTTAATCTTTTTACTTCAGCTACCAAATTTTATCAGTTAATGTCATTAATCAGTACTATCTCTTATCCAGCTAAAAATCCAATTAGGAGCTTGAAATAATTCCCATGTTAAAGACCCCAAAGCACAAAGAGATGGTGAAAAGAGTATTTTGCTTGTCCAGATAAAGGCTGCAATCTCACCACTGGCTGTTCTTCCAGAACTGAAAGCAAGGCTTCAATTACTGTCACGGTGCACTGCACTCCTGGCTGATGCTTCAGGGATGCCCAGAAGCACAAGGTTTGTGTGGCCACCTTTGTAAACCCTTTGCCAGTGCTTTTGTGGGTTTTTCTCAGAGGGATAATTCATTTATGCTTCATGTGTGAACGTGAAAGAGTTTCCTTACAATGGCATTATGGAATAGTTTGTGTTGGAAGTGACATCAGCCAGTTCCAACCCCTGCCATGGTGCAGGGACACTTTCCCCTGGACCAGGCTGCTCAGAGCCCCATCCAGCCTGGCCTCTTGCCCCATCCAGTCCTGGCTCTGCCACAGGTTTCCCTGGACAAATAACAGCCTTTATATGTATATAATAATTATTATAACTGCCTGTCCTGCCTCATCTCTGCAAGGCCTCCTCCCCACCTCACCAGGGATGCAAAGCAGCAGTGCAGGGAACCAAAGCCAACACTTCTGGTGTGAGTTGCAGAAAAGGAATTGGCATGAGCTGCTTGCATTAATGTTTAGAAACCCCATCGTTTTTCAAAGCCTAATTACACAGAACCCATTCTCTTTTAAAGCCTGGAATGCAGTTTTCCAGCAATCTTAATACCAAAAGGTGTGGCAGCCCCCCAAGTCGTGGTGTTTAATTCGAAACGTTTCGCTCTACTTTGTCTGGTAGACGCTGTTGTTATTCTTGGAACACACACACACTCTCACACACACACACACATACACACTCTCACACATTTTTTTTTTCCTTTTTCCTTAAACTAAAGCTAACTTCAGTTTCTGCTTTTCACAAAGTAACCCCCTCCAGCCGTTTCTGTTAATGCCTTTCCCATAGGAAATCATCGTTTGCACGCACCGACGGGGGCAGGCCGGGCACCGCCCCCATCGAGTGGCAATAAAAACAGCATAGCACCGCAGTGAAGACTAAGACATGCCAGCTTCAACATCCACCTAGATTGTGCACTTGTTCCTTGCTTACAAAAGTGTCTTTGAGGCCTTTGAAAGTTCCATGGCTTGACATGTATAAAGCATTGCTCTAAAGTATGTGTAAACTCGCAGCTCCTTCCAGGCCGCGCTCGTGCTGCTCCCGCTCGTCCGGCGCCGCGCTCGGTCGCTTCCCTTTCTCTCTCTCCCAAGGGGAAGATTTCTCTGTCTGCTGGATGTCCAGCCCTGCTCCAGGAGCCTTCCAGGGGCAGAGCAGTTCTCCCACACGGCAGCACACGGGTGACAAGCCCTTTGCTACACTGGTGCTAACGAAGGGAAGAGGAGTGGGACCAATACGTGAATGCAGCTTGGCCGTGTCAGCTCGATGTGCTTTCCCTTGTGCAGAGATAGATCCCAATTCATAGGCCAGGTCTGCTTGTGGAAAGGTTTTTTTTGGCAATTTTTATCTGCATCAAATCAACCAATACAATCCCAACCTCTCCATGTATTGGTGGGCACTCTGTGCCAGCCACAGAGCTGCTGTGAGTGCAGCACTCGCCTCTGCTTTAGGTGATGCCTTTGTAAACCTTGTGTGTCCAGTCCAGGAGTGGCTCGCAGACAGCGATGCTGTGATACCAGCCCAGACCTCGGGTGTGTCTGCAGCACTGGGCGTTCTTTTGCTTGTGTATAGGTGGGCTCCAAATGAAGAAGGAAATGCCATTTTGCAGGGGGTGGTCGTGGCTGCCATCGAGTTAAAGAAGGGAGATGTTCTTGTAGCTAGAACTTGCTGAGCAACTCATCCTGCCAACGGTGGTGTGGAGATCTTCGGCAGTGCTGACCTGATTGTGAGACTGACACAGCTCTGAAGTGGTGGGATTTACTGTTTCAGAACAGATGCACTTTCAGGAATACGGTCTCCATTTCTCAGCCTCTGTCCTGCTCCCACCCCCTTCAAACTAATGCTGTTGGCTTCAGCTTGCAGGTCATGGAACTCTTGCTGCTGTTACGTGCTGTGGAACACTAATCTTTGATAGAAGCCTTGGAAGGAAAGGAAACCCAGTTTTGAAACTGGCTGTCCAGATGGCTGCTCCTCTCTGCCCGTGGCCATGGGAGGGATGGGCACCCTCTGGCAGTGGATGTGCTGCTCTGCCAGGGTGCATGGCTCAGGGCCGGCGTTCCACAAATGTTGTCTGGAATTGCATCGTGAGAAAAGTGCTTAGAGTTGAAGCTGGTGCTGGGTGACAGTGCATCTGGGTAAGGCAAATGAGAGGCAGTGAGGTGATCTCAGAATGGCATTGATGTGATTAACTTGAGGTCAGGGGTTCACACTAGAGTTCCAGGCTTGGCTTTTTCCTGCCCATACCACTGGACATCTGCTAATTCTGGATAGAGGGGAGAATCCAGGAAACAGCTATCATTGTAGTTCCTGCAGGAGAAAGGAAGCTTTGTTAGGACAGTGAGAAGTTCAACCGTGAGCACAAAACATTGTGTTATGGGTGGAGAGGAGCACAGGGTATTCACAGACCCCATGCACTCTGCCTGTGTCCTCTTCCCCCCTGCCCTGGTTGCAGCAGCAGTGCTGTGCCTCTGCCCTGCCTCAGGCTCTGCCTGCTGTCCTGCTCAGCAGGAAGGTGGGATACAGATTTTTCTATAGGATGCTCTGCAAGGAGCAGCTCCTCAGAGCAGCTCACTCAGACATGGGCTGCATCACCCAGTGGGAACTTTAGAGGAGGGTGGTGGCACTTTCTGTAGCACTTCTGCTCTGGGCAGAGCCTTGTGCATCACTGAGCAGTCCCAGAGGGATGTGGCTTTCCAGGGATGAACCAGGAGGGGACTATGAGAGCATGCCAGGTCTGATGTGGGAAGGACCATGTTTTGCTGCCTGGCTTTTTCTTTGCCTGTACTGAGTAGATGAGGCAATTAATAATTTTCTTTGCTATTTACGTTAAGAGTTCTACCCAGCATCAGCTCCTGGCTTAGGCTGTGGAGCTCCTTCCCAGAGAAAAACAGGTCAAAATCTGGATCTTTTGAAAAGTGACTGCTATATCTGTGCAGTCACAGCCAGAACTGATGTCTTTCCCTCATACTTTGATTTGAACCAACTTCCAAACTAGAGACTGTTTGGAGGCCAAAGGCAGGAGATGTATGTTTTTTTCTGTTTACTGAGGGATTCTCACTGCTTCCTGCATTCCCTCCCCACCTCACAGCACTGATCTCACATCTGGTGCAATTCCTTCTTCCTCTGCCCTGTTTTCCACCTGGTTTCCCTGGGATTGGTGTCTGAGAGGAACCTGAGCAAGGGCATCGACATTTGCATGTTAAAGAGCCTTTTGTTTCCCAGCTTAGTGCTGGAGCACAGAGCTTTATGGGATAACTCTAGAAAGCTGGGCTTGAGGTACTTGACAGATGCCAGCTGTGAATGGATGTAGATTCAAATGAGAGTGTCAGACAGCGATGGCAGTTTAATTAAAACAGAAACACTCTGAGGCTTTTTTTGTTCCCTCCACTCTTCCCCCTCTGCGTTCCCACAGGAATGGGGCCAGGGCTGCTCCTTGTTCCATAAAACCTCTCTGCTGCTGCTGCTGCTGCAAACAGCCCCAGCCCTGTGGCAGGGAGGGAGGAGGAAGGTGTGATGGAGCTGTGGCTGGAGGGAGCATGGGAGCTCTGCCCAGGGCTGCTGAGCTCACCCTGGTGTCCCCAGTAGGCTGCTCCCACTGTCCCCACAGCTCTCTGCCCACGCTGCTTTCAGATCTCCTCAGCCACAGATTTGTTGTCCACATCCCTCCCCAGCTTCTGTGCCCGTTCAGCCTCGGCAGGGACACAGAGCAGGCTGGCCCTGAGGGGAGGGCAGGGACACAGAACAGGCTGGCCCCATGTCCCTCTGACAGGGGGGAGCAGGGACACAGAGCAGGCTGGCTCCATGTCCCTCTCACAGGGCAGGGACACAGAGCAGGCTGGCCCTGAGTCCATTTCACAGGGCAGGGACACAGAGCAGGCTGGCCCTGAGTCCCTCTCACAGGGAAAGGCAGGGACACAGAGCAGGCTGGCCCTGAGTCCCTTTCACAGGGCAGGGACACAGAGCAGGCTGGCCCTGAGTCCCTTTCACAGGTAAAGGCAGGGACACAGAGTAGGCTGGCCCTGAGTCCATTTCACAGGGCAGAGACACAGAGCAGGCTGGCTCCATGTCCCTCTCACAGGGCAGGGACACAGAGCAGGCTGGCCCCGAGTCCCTTTCACAGGGGACAGTGCCACAGCCTCTCTGGAAAGGCACAGAGGGTGGAATGCTCCCCAGCCCTGCAGGGAGCTGGCTGGCACACAAAGGGGCACAGAGCTGAAGGGCAGCTCCAGCAGGAGGCCGGGCACTGCGCTGTGCTCACCGAGTGTGGGGCAGGAGGAGGAAAGAACAAAACGTTCCCTTACTATACCTCTATTCATCAGTACTTTGGTGGGTTGGAGACTGAGACTCATCCATAGTGGGTGAGTTGTCTGTTGCTTCTCTGAACAAAGGAGAGCAAAAAAGGAGGAAAGAGGAGAGAGGAAATGTTAAAGAAAAGAAGTGACACAGACATTGTTAACGAGCTTATTAATCCAGTGGGGAAACAAGTGGATGAATCATCTTTAGGAAAAGTTAGTGACACAAAAACATGTTGGGGAGAAATGTCAATCTGTGGAGTCGTACTGGGAGGGCACAGCCACTCCTGCAGTGGAGGAATCTGTTGTGCATCTAATGGCAGACTGGGTCCACTCCTGTATTTATACACACACACACCCTGGGTGCTGTGCTCAGGTACAAAACAAGTGTTGATTTGTCTCCACTTCTTTTAGGGCCTTGGCTATAAATACAGACAGCTTCACTTTCACCAGCTGAGAATTTAGCTTAAAAGTATTTTTGCTGTGAGAGGCAAGGTGCAGGACAGCTTGAATGGAAAAATAAGAAAAGCTGGGATTATCCAAACAGATGTCTCGGCTGGCTGCTCACCAGTTTTAATTCTGATCATCATCGAGTTATTTAGAAGAATTAGAATTGGGATGGAGACTGAGACTAAGATTTGAATTTAGTCTCAAACCCTAAATAGTGGAAATTGCAGTGCATGGTTAAGGCAGGTACCATTTTGCCTATCTTGCTATCCCATGACTTTTAGTGAAATGGGACCAAGAACATTCTCCTGCTCTAAAGCTGGAGGCACATGCAAAGACCACATGAGACTGGATGTCAAATGTGTGAATTTAAAATCCAGGTAAGCCTCAGGGGTTGTGGCTATGGTTCTCCTCAGCTCCAATTTAAAGTGCAGTCACAAACAGTGCTGGAGTAACCAGAGGTCAAACCTGGTCATAGGTGACATGGGTAATTAAAGAGCAGGAGGTTTTCCAGTGGCTGCACAGTGAAATGTTTTCAAAGTTAGTTCCAATTCATGACTCAGGGTATCAGCTCTGTTTTCTATTCAGCATGAGGGAGGGTATTTTGAGTACTGTAGTGTCAGATCTAGCTGATCTCACCAAAATCTCATCCCACTGGATGTGCTGAGTTAGATGGGATCTGGAAATGACCTTTATTTCACATGGCAGGACAGAATTGCTGGACAGAGAGTGCTAGAGAATACCCATGGGAGCTTGTAAAAGGCTGTTTATTTACTCCTGGAACTCCCTGCCTTGTAAAGAGGTGCCAAAGAACCCAATGACTGTATTTACATTAGTAATGGCTATGGGTGTGTAATGCTTCCCTCACACTCTGGTGAAGCACCTTCATGTTAGTGGTAGCTGAAAAAAGATGCCCTTAAAAGTCATGCAGACAGACTGCTGAGGAAAACTGAGCAGAAAAATGAGGTTTTTGCACACACAGGTATGGCAGGCACCAACCTTGCCTTTTCAACAAGGTCTTGGTGTGGACAGCCAGTGTGATGGCTGCTAAAAAAGAAACATCAGCTATTTCAACATAGGAAGAAGATTGGAGGAAGGAGCCTGTCCAAGCAGGAGGAACCTGCAGGAACCTCCTTTCCTTATGGATCTGACACTGTTTGGAGCAGTGCAGGGTGTGGATGACTCAGGCATGTCTTGCTCAGCCTAAACCAGAGCTCCACCACCACGAGAGCACAGGTGGGAGACTGGAAATGCTCCATGTAGATGTAGGCTATGGAGCACATGGGAGACATTCCCCACAGCTGTGCTGTTGTGTGGGGAGCTTGTTCTCACTGGGAGGGAGGGATTTGGATTCTGTGAGCTGCCCCAGAGCCACTCACCCAGTCTGCCAGGTGAGGATGTGGTGGGGGCTGCCCGGCGGCGTGGCTGCGAGCTCGCTCGATGGCGTGGAACTCCTCTGGCTGTGAGGTAAGGCAGCTGGAAAACAACCAAGGGTGGGGAAAACCACTGGTGAGGCGAGAACACAAAGGTCAGGGTGCTTCAGAAGCATCAGCTGGTCAGACCAGCAGGAACATGTCTGGCTGTGAGCAAACACAGCCTGGGACAGGCCTCGCCCCGTTCCCGGGTGACTGTGCCTGAGCAGGGCACAGGAGCAGAGCCTGTGCTGACACTGCTGCATGTCACAGGCTGGATCTGCCCTCAGCTCTGCAGGAACACAGTCTCCAGCTCAGCACAGCCACCCAGGCTCTCCTGATCCTGCCTGGCACACACCACACTTCTCTCAGCACAGAAACTTGGTTACTGCTGGACTCCATAGTCCTGAAGTGGAGGAGCTCAGCCTGCCAGGCTCAGCCTCCTGTTTCCAGGGGTGGTGGGAGATGCTCCATGTCCCAGGAGCCAGGGCTGGCAGTGGTGAGAGCCTGGACAAGTACACTGCTGTGAAGATTTCAAAAGCTACAACTCCCTTTCACTGTGGGTTTGTAAAAAATGCCTGTCTTTGCTGACAGTCCTATTAGGGACCAAAGGAAGGCTTAGCTTATGACTGAACCAAGACAGAAGCAAGCTGGACTACAAATGGGCACTGGCTCTTGGGGGAATTTCCCTGGTGAGAATGCAGCAAATAAAACCACCTCACTAATCTTTCTTCCTCCTCAAGTCTATACAGTGACCTCTGAATTTAACACATGCCTAGAATGTAATACATGACTAGAAGTCTCATCCTCTTTGAAGGGCAGTGTGCAGCCCAACTGACCTATCAACTGAAATTATGGAGGCTTCTACCTGGCACCCCTCTCTCTGCTGGTAAATTATTTAGCTGCTGCCAAATGACACCTAAAGGGCAAAACAAATTTTAATCTGCTTCTGGAGCTGACAGCTCCTGAGGTCAGTATCCTCCCATAGCTGTAACTGGGAACAGACTCTGAACACAAAACCAATCTATACTGCCAACTGGTCAGGCCATGCTGTGATTACTGAACATTCCTGGGCTGCACAGGTATCAAATTTAGGCTTAAAGCCCCAGCTGAGTTAGGGAATGGACTGCCTGACAGTGATCTTTATGTGCTCTCACTCCAACCCACCATTTTCCTGAACTGGTACCATTTCCAAGGCTAACCAAAAGCTTTCCAGTGTTCAAGAATTTTCTCTTGCTGCATGGAACAGAAATGCCAAGCAACCAAAGGGAGGAGGACAGATTTTCATAGGGGGACACAGGATGGTTCTAGCAGCTGCTCAGTTGTGTTTTGGTCCACTTCTGGTACCTCTATGAGTGTTGGCATCACACATCAACCAGCCCCTTCTTGGGCAGCTGCTGGTGGCTCACGAGGAGCCTCTGACTCCTCACTGGAGCTGGCAGCGAGTGCAGGGCCCCCCTGGTGCCAGCGTGGGGGTCACCATGGACTGGGCACCACGCTGGGATGGCAGAAGGAGAACAGCCAGCAGCCAGCATGGGTGGACAATGCACTGCTCTGCCTGGGGGCAGTGGCAAGTGCAGCTGGGCCAATGGTGTCTCCATGCTGAGGCTGAGGCACGTGGCTCAGGTCTTTAGCAAGTCCTTGATCTGTCCACACAGGCTGGACAAGGAGTGACTGATGGCTAGTAAATATTTAACCCTGGACTGTTTCACACACATTGTAGCCTTCCTTCTGTGTGTAATGAATTTGACTGTTTTCTTACCATTTAATATTAACAGCACAGAGGTGTACACAACATATATGTTTAATATTAACAGCAATGCTCTGTACATAACACAGAGGCAAAATAGTGCATGAACTGCAGCACTCTGTTTCAGGGTATTATCAGCAGAGTTATTGGAGCTGCATGGGAAAACCAAGTCTCAGCAGTGCACAAAGATGTCATTGCTCAAACATTTTCATGGGGCGTGGAGTGGCTGGGATGCCTGACTTAACCTTTCTCTTAACTTAACCTTTCTCTTACTTTTGGTGTTTCACTGAGTACATATATTCTCCTAGTCTGTGCTGAACCCCTGCTTGCTTCATTGCTCCCCTCGCTGTGATTATAAATAGTGGTGCTCCCATAGCTTTGTCACCTTCAGCCTCTAGTGCCATGACCCAAAACCCAACTGCACTCTGAGGAAAAACCTGGCAATAACCAGGCTTTGGTCCCTCTCTGTCCTTTGAGCCCATCATTGAGAAGCGATGATTTCCATGGAAGTTTCCAAATATTCCCATTGATGAATGTCTTGGACAAGGCTTGCCCCTCAGTGTTACACCTCCAGGCTTGGTGAGCAGTGTGTGCAGGCCAGATAACATGCTGTGTCCTGGCACTGCTCTCCAGCTGGGGTGTAACACCTGGCATAGACCCGCACTGAATGAGGTTCCCACCCCTCTGTCTGGGCCTGGCTCTCACCTGATGTTGCTTTACACATCTGAGGCATTCTCGTGACCCGGCTGTGTGCCACAAAGGTGCTTTGAGAAGATGTGCTGTACTGGGAGCTGCTGTCCGAGGAGGTGGAGCTGGTGTGCGAGAGGCGGCTGTGCTCCTTGTGGGAGGCCGAGGAGCGCTGGTACCAGAGCCGCAGCTCGTCCGACACCGCAGTCCTGCCCGAGCCCTTCTCGTGGCCCTCCCTGCCCAGAGATGGAGTCCTTATGATCTGGGAGCGGGATGGGGTGAGCCTGACAGAGTCCACTTCATCCCCGTGCCAGTTCTCCTTAAACATTCCCCCTGCTGTGTAGGAGTTGGAGGTTTTGAATTGTGCTTTCACGCTGTAGTGTCCCTCCTGGTCGTTCTCCAGGCTCCGCACCACCACGGGCGTGGAGCTGCCCTCGATGTACAGGGGATACTCTTTGATCCTGTACTGGGAGGAGGGCTGGCTCTGGCTGTGCAGGTAGACACGGTGGTGTCCTGTCCCGTTCCTCGCAGCCAGGTTGGGCATGCTCCCTGAATTGGAAGAGACCAGGTTTCCTGCTGATTTGTGCCTTTGTCTCTGCCGCTCTCTGGCTTTCGACGGGGAATCCTCTGCCAGGGTGGAGTAGTTGGGGTTCATCTGAGCAGGGTAGTAGTGCTCCGAGCTGGAATGGCTGGTGCAGGAAGAGCAGTCGTCCATGGGGTCAGAGCCGTTACTGCTACGAGTCCTTGGGGTGTAGAAATCAGGGCTCCCTGTCTCATTTTCTGAGCCCAGGAGCTTTCCTTGTGACTCCAAACTGGAGCTCCGGTGTCTAAAGTGCTGAGCTAAGCTGTGCAGTCTGGTTGGGCTGATATCTACTGACCTGCAGGCACCAGGAAAGAAAGCAGGCTGTAAGTCAACAGGTTGAATCGTTCCCCATCCCTGTCTGTACACAGCCCACAAAGGAATCTGAGGGCACTGAAAACCTGAACCCTTCCAGCACTGCTTGGGGCTGCTGCCTGCAATGCACTCTGCTTCCCTGCTGCAGGGCTTGAGCTGATTAGGTCCTGTTCCTGCTCCCCTCCAGCTCCTTGGTGGTGACATTGAGTCTGCAGCACCATGAGGGACATAAACCCCTGCCCAGTCCAGTTCCTCTGTGGCATGCCACCCTGGGAAAAGCCCAGTCTGAAAGGTAAAGCTTGGGAACCTCAAGCCTTGGCACCTCACAGACCACAAATCTGGTGAGATTCCCTTGCAAGTGGCCCATGAAAGTCCTGTGTGGGTACAATCCACCTAATGAGAGACAGATAGACAGACAGACTGTCCACACTTAGCCCTGAACATTGTGATTTTTCCACTGGTCATTGAAAAAGTCACCGCTTGCCAAGCAGCTTGGTGCTGCTGGAGCCCAGCCATGAGTGATATGAGTGATGCATGTCATTGGTGTCAGCCCTTCAGGCAACCACCCCAAATCACAGTTTACAAGGCTTGACTCATGGCCAAGTCTGGGAGGTCTCTATTCACCCCAGCTGTTTGAAGAGCTCCACCCATCCATTCAAGGAGCAGAAACACATCTACATGACGGATGGCTAAGGCCAGGGCATGCAGCTCATGAATGAACTACAGACTGAGCAATGCTTGTTTCAAACACCCAAATGTCCCCTACTCAGTTAAGGCCACTTTTCAAGCCCTGTGCCAAGCTCATTTCTCATACAGCTTGGCTCCAGGGTTAACAGACATTGCACCATTGAAAGGTACCCTCAGCCAAAAGCTTGTAACAAATTTAACCCAGAGCTTTAATGCCTTGTATTAAAGGCTGATGTGTTGGCATAACTCTTGATTTATTCTGAGCTAAATGTCCTCAGGGCAGGACACAGACCAGAACACAGCTCTGGATCAGTTCTGCTCCCTGCAGTGGCCACGCTGCTTGCCACAAGCTGAACAGTTTGTAAAAATCCTACTGAAAATCACAGTCAAGTTTGGCCCCACACATCAAATCACCTCCCTTCCACACTTCAGCTCTTTCCTCTGTCAACCCTGGGCTAAATTCCACTGCCACCTGGGTCCATGGCTGGATTGCTCTTGATGTCCACATAACATCACACATAAGCAAACATTATATCCACGAGGGACAAATTAACACTATTCAACATTTTGTATCAGACAGGAAGCAACATGTTCTCTCCAGCTGGAACCATGGAGGAATTTACTGCAGAATTCAGCAGTAGCACCAAATGCATTTTAAAAGTGGCCTGTAGAACCTATAAACAGTCTGAGATGAAAGGTCCCAGCAGAAGAACAGCTTGGTCACTTCAGGGGAGGGATGAGGGGCAGAATCATGTTTATCTGAAGGGATTTCAGGATGTCAGTTCAGGAGAGACTCTCTACTGGCACAAGCACATGAGCCTCTTATGTGAGCAGGACTGGTTAGTGTCCTTTCCTGAACTGGGAATTAATCCATACCCCGAGGGAAGGATAAAGCAAGGCCAATTTATTTCAGGGTAAGCAGGGTGAGGCTGGAGCCGGGATCACTTACCGCGTGGAGTGGACGTAGTGCGGGCTGCGCACCCGCAGATCCGGCGTCGACGGCATGCTGGACTGGGAATTCCAGTGGGGAAGGCTCCGGATGGGGCTGTTCTGCAGCGAGCTGCTGCCTCCTGCCTCAGCACAGCTCCCGCTGCTGGGGAACCGCTTGTGGCTGCTGCAGAGAAATACCCTGCCTCAGCTCTCCCACAGGAATCGGGCAAGTGGCTCCCACACGTCCTTCCAGATCTCAGGCATGTGCCTGGGATCTTGCAGGGGCGAGTGGGAGTTGGGTCAGCTGCTGTTCTGAGCTTGTGTCTCAGCCCTTGTGGTGCCAGAGGTCAAGGCCAAGTCCTGTCAAAGCCCTCAGATGATCCATCATCCAACCCTTCTAAATGTTTTGTAGAATAACACTGAGACACCAAACAGCAATCATGTGGCCGTAGCCTGTTTTGATGACCTGCCTATTGGCCAGAAGCCTCCTTTTAGTAAGGGACAACTTTGTAAATTTTGAAATGGCTTCCACTTGTCCCTCCTGAAAGCAGGGCATATCTCTGTGCTGGAGTGTTGGGGAAAATGAAACAGGAAAGCCTTATAAATATGATTGTCTGGCAAAAGATTTTGAGAATATAGAAACTATATGTGAGACTGAAATGAAAGCAAGCTTTGAGATACCTTAGTTAACTGAACAACTGGAAAACAGTGGTGTGGCCAGCTGAAGGCAATCCCCTTTTGATGAAACAAGACTCTCTGCTTGCAGACAACTCCAAAGGTCAGAGCAGACCCTACTAGCTTGGCAGAAGGGGTCCAAAAAGGAGTTTTTAGGGTTTAAAAAGTAACACAGTATGGTAATGTCATGATTCTTATAGGCTGTATGTAAATGCTATAGAATTTGTATATTGTAGTAGATTGGTTAGTGAGAATTAGAATGTTCAACAGAGAAGAAGATTTATTGTATTGTAATGGGAACCTCGTTCTCTTGCCCTTTAATGCTCTTACCCTTTTACTTTCTCACTCTCTCACCCTCTCTGCCCCTCTCTTCTCTCGGGCCTGCTCTGTGTTTGGCAGCTCCCACAGGGCCCTGCACCCAGGCCCTTTGCAATAAACCCCAAGTTCCACGACCTGGCTGCAGAGATCTCTCGTCTCCGTCTGTCCCGACGGTCCCACCCCCTGATGCTCCTACACTGGAGCTTCACTAGATCTGGCTCACCTGGAATGGCCGTGCGAGGAGCGCTTCTTGACCTTCTCATAGGGCTCATCCAGGGATGACTCGCTCCACATCTTGGGTTTGATGGGGGACTTGTCGTAGTCGCTGCGGTGGAAATGCATCTGGCGCAGCCCCTCCAGCGACTGCGGCGGCGGCGGCCGGCTGTGCAGCGGCGGCCGTGGAGGGAGCCCCTTGTGTGGGGACTGCAGGGGCGAGATTGTGCTGGTGACCTGAGAGTCCTCTGTGGAGAGAAGGGAGAGAGGAGATGGCTGTGGGACACCTGCAATGGCAGCACAGCCCCAAGAGACACCATCACACCTCCAGAGCCTGCTTCCCTGCCCTGATTCCCCTGGCTGTGCTCAGGGATATCCTGAAGACCTGACTTTCAGAAGGGCACTAGCTGACATTCTCATTTCGGGAGAGAATGGCCAGCAAGAGTGTGTGATGCCTTAAAACAACTGAAACTTATGGGAAAATAAGGGGCAATTCTAGGACTGTCTTTTGAAATAATTCAGAGCAGTAACCACAGCAATACTCACTGCTCCAGGCCTGATGTCTGACTACAAGATAAGAGTCAGACACTATGGGGAAACCATAATGATGATTTTCGATGATTTGGTCCTTTGAGTAGAACCCTGCTAGGAATGGTGTTCCTGTTAGGGTGAGGTTGCTGATGGGAAGGCATGCAATGGTTTGTGGGTAGTTTTCTTTGGAGCCCTCCTGTTCTTTGGATATCTTGTTCACCATTTAGGCTGTGAATGATGGAGCCTGAGCATAGGAAGAGCATGGCTTTGAAGGACGCATGGGTTGAAATATGGAGGAAGGCCAGTTCAGGGAGGTTTAGTCCAATTGTAACTATTATTAGTCCTAGTTGGCTTGAAGCAGAGTCAAAGAGTCAAATCATTAGGGGAAACCAAGCTTTTTTTCCTTCTGAGATCTATCAGTGGAGTACTACACAGAACAGTAATTCCATTTTGAGTGTCAATCAGGAGTTCACACATCCCCTCCCACTCTCTAGAGCATACAGCAGCCAACATACCATCCTCGAGAACAAGGGCATCTGAGAGGGAGCTGTCTTCACTGGCAATGTTTCCTTCTGAAGAAAGAAAATACAAAGATGGTCAGATGGTCCCAAGATTTGCAGTGACTGAGTGCTGAACTGCACCATGATCTTTGTCCACTGAGTCTTAGCCTTAAGCAGTCACCCACACCTTCCTCCCCCCAAAGCAAGAAGCAAAATTCCTATGAATGGTTGACTCAGCCCACTCTCAGGCTGGGAGGGCAGAGCCGCAGGTCAGGTCTCTCAATAGCAGGCTGCCTTTCAAGGAGCTGCTAACTCTTTTCAATAACTGGGGATTAAGACTGAGTCACAACAGAGAGCTGAGATCCCCAGAGGATGCAAACTGGCACAGTGCCATTAGTGAGATTTACATCTTGGCCCTTAAGGACTCTGGGTTTGATCCATCTTCTTAAAATGATCATCCTGCTGCTAACTAAAGGTTCACACCAAATACAAGTTCTGTGGAATTCAAGGAAATGTTTTTGGAGCATCTTCTGCAGCAGCAGTAAAAACTCTCAGGTCTTTGGCATGCAGATATTTGAGATGCCTCTCCCAGCCTGTGTCCCCATGGCTGTCTGTTATCTCAGACTGAGGTGCAATTTGGTACCCAGGTCACAAACACAGCAGCTCTAATCTCAGTTCCTGCACAAAAGCACAGAGAAAAGCTCTGCAAGTCAAAGGGAAAGAGGAAAATCCACAAGGGAGAAAGAACCACGGCAGAAAGTTATGGATTTCATGAAAAATCAATCAACAACCCAGTAAACCATAAAGTGCCCTGAGAATTACATTGTTAAAAAAAGAAAATGAAAAGAAATATTTGAACACAGCAATGAGACTGCTCCCACTTTGATTTTACAGATGCCTTTGAGCTAGAGAGCTCACCCCTATCTGCTAACATTAATTACATTTGTACTGCACTGCTCTGGAGGAGATACCAGGAGAGCAATTTCACAGGTGAACAAAGGAGTCACAACCTGCTCTGCTGACACCCTGATCATCCACAGCACACCACAGCTTTGCTGCTGTGACCCAGCACAGCCCTAGTGCACAGCACCCTCTGACAGCACCCCTGGGGCCCTCCAGGCAGGACAGGCAGGAGGAGGGAGGGGAAATTTGGTAAGAATTTTTCTCCCTGCCCTCCACAGTGATGCTGTGGGCACCAAGGTGGTGTCACTTGGTGGGCACCAAGTCCCACTTACCATCTATGATCAGGGAGGCTCTCTGCGTTGGCTTCTTCCCGGATTTGATGCGGTACTCGTTGATGGCATTCTCAATCTCCTGCAGTTTCTTCAGAGCATTCAGGTAGGAAGTCTTCCTCTGCTTCTTCAGCTTTTTGCTGACGTTGGGGTCGCTGGCCAGGCGCCGCGCAGCCTCCGTGATCTGGGACTGAATGGCAAATTCCCTCTCCAGGCGCTCCAGCTCTGCCTCCTGGTGAAAGGCCAGTGGGTCCTGGTTACCACCAAACTGAGCCCACCTATGTGGAAGATCTCCAGAACCTGGAGTGGCCTCCAACAGAGGTTCTCCATCAGCAAATCATCCACAGTCATGCTGCTGCCTCAGGGCCTCTCTGAGCACACCCATTTTGCCTTCACCTGCTCTCAAAAGTGCCTGGGAGCACAGCTGGTGGAAGGGATGATCCACACAAGGAGGACATGTGTGCTCCAGCCCTAACCCTGATGTGCTGTTTGACTTTTCAAGCAGTTCAATATGGCCAAATTCACATTGATGCTTTTACACCCATCTCTGGGTCACACCTGCCTCCCACCTGCTCCTTCTCCCTGTTTTCCATCTCCACATTTAAGCCCCATTTGATTTCACTGCTATGCATTGATGCAAAGCCACAGCTTTAACCTCCTTGACAGGTTTGTTTGGCACTCACCAAACACTTTGGGGTAAACATGAGCTGAAGAAATTATGGGCTGCTGCAACTGATGGCACCAGAAAAATGTCTCCTCGAGTTACCAGCCAGGAGGGTGATGTGAGAGCCTGCAGTGTGTAACAGCAAGCTCTCTGTATGCCAGAAAGAACCAGTGCCCTCAGTTAGCTCTTGCAGGGCCTCAGCTGAGTTTTAAAATGCAATCAGGTGTACCCTGAAAGCTACCTAGCCATTTTTGGTTATCCTCCAAAGTCAAGGGACTTAGGACAACTAATGCCAAAGCATAAGCTGATACAGAGCTTCCCAGTCTGCAGCAGGACCCCAGGCTGTGAGCTTCAAAGGGCCTTGCTAATCTGCAATGGATCTGGCTGCCTCCCCCAGCTCAATGGAATTAGTCTGCTAGAAAAAGGAACCCAGTACATTGCAAATTAACAGAAAAAAAAAAAGAAAAAAAGACAAGTTTTTCTACTTTTAGTGAACGGTGAGACAGTCACATATTCCTGGAGATCCCCATTACCAAGTTCAAATCCTCTCTTTGTTCAGCAGCAGTGTAAGAGCTGATGCTGTGAGATTTAGTCAGACTGAAGCATTCTCTGAAGTTTTTATTCTGGGTTTCTGGCTTAAAAAATATACTTTTGCTATCAGTGGTGAGTCAGCATTGCCTTAGAACTATAATTATAATTTCCCTCACTTCACTGAAGAATGAACCCACCTTCTGTGTTTTTAACATATCCCTTTTTGCTTTGAAGACTTTATGAACTCTGTTAGTGCCAGACTTATTAAAAGTGAACTTGATATGATGGGGTTTTAAGGCCTGGAATCTGATTCATCATCTTCTGATAAAAGCCTTCCCAGAGTCAGGAATTACAGACCAGGTAAAGGTGATTACCAAGAAAAAAACCAGAACCCTTCCCTGCAAGTCTTGATCTGACCAAGGTCTTGCTAAAAGTATGGAAAGCTTGATGTGAGAGCTGTCATTTCAGACCTTCACAGATTCAGCACTAAATCATTCAGTATATCCTAGGAAAAATATATTAATTTTCCTCCTGTCCATAATTGTCTATTTTCCTCCAGTGAGCCCCCTATAAATAAAGCCCTAGGAAATGAGAGCTATCATCTGCCTTCAGATGGAAGTGCCTTGCTTCAGGTCCTTGTCACAGCCAGTAATTTCAGTCCTGGATTTGTGTGGTTGAGAGAATATTTCACCTTTTTTTTAGAATTGATTTTCCAGTGTTTGCACTTGCTGAAAAGTGCATGAAAACCATTGCTACCCTCCCTAAATGCTTTCAAAGTGGCAGCCAAACACAGCTCAACATCATACAGAAATTTATGGTTTTCAAAACAGCCTTAAAATTTGAGAGATGAAGAGAGAGGTAGAGAAAAAGCTGAATCAGCATGTTTGGATTTCTGAGTGCCTGCACTGGGGAGGAGCTGCTTTACCTTCCTGCTCTCCACACCTAATCCTGCCACTGGAGTAAGGAGATTCCTCACCCCAAAAGCTGCCCTGTAGCAACAGGAGCTGGGGAAGCAGGAGATCAGGTTATAACAGAGCAGCCAACAGACTGCAGGGCTTTTAGGAGTAATTCAGCTAAGACATGCTTCCCTTTGAAAAGCTTAATTAAATGTGCTAGTTCATGGATATTTGACTGCGGTGGAATTCCTCTCCCAGGCTCCATTGAGAACAAAACTAAAGAGCTCCAGCTGTTTATTTTCTCAGCAGAAGGAAAATGCCAACAAAACGACAAACAGTTAATTCCCTGGCTGAACTGAGCCTCAAACCACACAGTCACAACCAGCTTCAGTCTCCCCTCCTACAAAAATAAAAAGGAAACTCAAGACTGGAATATACACAAGTGTCTTGAGACAAATGTGCCTCCACAGACAATAGCTGTTCTGTGAATCTGGTCCTGCTCTACAGCTGCTGCAGGCCTGTTTTCACAGCCACGGTTCAGGGCACTGACCCAGCACATTGTGGGAGCAAGGAAGGGAACAAACACTCCCTGGCAAACTTAGAAAAATGTAATTCCAGCTCCCCATAGGTAGGGATGAAGGCTCTTTTGTTTAAGGACTGGGGAGCAAAATGCTTTTATCTCCCTGTGGCAGGGTGAGATGGATAATGGTGATGCTTTTCTCTCTGGTTAGAGGGGGCCTGAATTTGGATTGCTACTGGAGTGGAAAGCAAGAGGTTGTTTGCAAAAACAAGACAGGCAGAAGCAGGGCTCAGATGGCTTGGGTGGCTCCTGATGTGCTTCCTGCTCACACAAATCACTGCACTTTGTCACCAGAGCGCTTGCACTGCCATGGTCCAATTGGTCACTCGGGCTATTTCTGTTACCTCTAGAAAAGCAAGTGCAAGAACCTTAATAATTTCACCTTTAGTCTGAAGTAAAGTCCCCGACTCTCTCACTCCTTCCCCATCCTGATGGATATAAAAAACCCCAAATGGGTACTGTGACCAATCACAGTAATTTAAAATAAAGACAACCATGGGACTGATGGCTCCTGTGTGATGCTCACTGGACACCTTAGAGACCTGAGGTGGGGACACGTGTCTGGAAGGGAAGGGCTCAGCCTCACCTCTCCCTTGGGCAGGATTTTCTGCTCATCCAGTTTAAAGGCAGTTCCTATTCTTCTCCTTACAATAGGTGGCTCCTCCCCAGGATCCAGGGGGTATTCTCGTGGCAGCTTCCCTGTGAGCTCCTGTAAGCAGAAAATGCTGTTAGTGCTCTGGGAAATCCTGCAGCACAGCAAAGCACACCACCACTCCTGTGTGACCCTCAAATGACAGGTACTCATTAATAACATATCCAGTTCAGCCAGCTGATAAACACACAGGAGAGCACCCAGCCCTGCAAGCTCAGAACCCAGCACTGAGGGTGGGGACCTCCTCTTCTCTGACCTGTGCATGAACACAGAGCTTTGTGGCCTGCCCTGGGCAGGTCTGTAAGTGGTGCTCATCCCCAGGGCTGAGCAGGCTTGCAGCACACAAGCTTTCATCTCTGCTGCAGGGTGAGCAGGAACCAAGAGCTCCTATCTGCTCCCCCCTGCTTCTGAGAGGGGGGAGCAGACCCCAGAGCCTTCCTGCAGGATGCAGGTCTGCTGAGTCAGAAAGCTGCAATGGTAACAGCCACACAGGTTATGACCTGCACAGAAAAACATTCCCACCTGATTCATGACGTGTCTGAGAGGAATGCAATGGAAATGGTCACTAAAAGCAGTGCCTGGTACCTCATTACCTGTCTGATAACACTTCATGCATTAGAATGCTTTCCAAACCTCAATGATGTCATGGGCAGCTCTGGAGCAATTATTAGCTGATACTCTGTCAGACTGATGGAGTTATTTGCAAAGATATGTTCAAAATCTGAAGCAAACCACACAGAATTTCAGAATATGTGGACAACAGGAAGCAGCACCATTACTGATGTTAATGCTGTGGGGGTTTTCCCCCAGGCTACACAATACAGGCACACACATCTGAACTGAAGGCATTGAACTGCCTAGAGAAAAAGGCAGAAGCCTGACTACCAGCACAGCCCAGACTCCTTGTACTCAAAAGTCTCCCCATGAAGGACAAAAGGCTTTTGTGCTCCTTAGCATCAGAGCTGAGAGGATCCAGCTGGCAGAGTAACCTAAATCATCTGAATCCCAAAGAACAGCAGTTGACCTTAATGTGAGTGTGGGTGCACAGCCCAGGCCTGCCCTGGCCTCTCCCCCACGCCCTAATGGGTTTTTTTCTTTCTACTCTTTTCAGGTCACTTGGAAACAAGGACCTGGCGTTTTCAAATCCTCCCTTTAAGCAATTCCCAGCAAAATGGGTTTGCAGCAGAGCTCTGTGTTGACGTGCACAGCCCCCTCTTGCAAGAGGCATGGCTGTAATGTCTCACAGTCCTGCTCTGCATTGCCCCTCCAGCTCTGTGGGGTTATTTCAGTTTTTCTTTCAAAATGTGTTCTTTGTACTGTGGCTCTAAGCACTGCACCAAGACAGATTCCTGTAGCCTGAGGGCAACAGGGATATTTTCTTTATAACTCCTCATGTGATATGAAGCAGGGCAGCGGGTAAAGAGTTAATCTTCTGTAAAATCTGTAAAGATCAGAGCAGAACAAAATGAATGTGGGCTACCATGCTGCCTCCACGAGCTAAAAAGTATTCAAAGGCACGATCATGAAATGTAATCTAAATTAATAAGTAACTGGAGTAGTGATGGCCCAAAGTAACCTGATGCCAGAATTATGAATGGTTCTGGCCATGCTTTCTTAATTATGCCCCCACTTTTAACTCTTTTTTTATCCCCTGGTTTGCCATCCTCTTCCTCTGTTTTGGCCATTTCCATGCCAAAGCAGAAAGGAAGAAGGGCAGCCTGAGAGGAAGCTTTCAACTAGCAGCTGCTGATGGATGAGCTGAAGGGTTGCAAGATGGGGTCAGATTCCAAGTGTCCATTAACTGCCTCTCTCAAATCACCTTTGGAAAGCACCAACACTTTCTGCCAGCTCTTAATGTGCTGACAGATGGGCTCTGGCCAGCCCTGCCACAGCACATCAAGGAGTTACTGCTCCTCATTCCCAGCTCCCTGCCCCAGTGGGAGCTTTTGCCTGCATGCTGCTGCTCCTGAAGTGCCTGAGGCTGCACCAAAATCAGGGCTGGTGTTAAAGGAAAGGCACTGGGCTGTGAGCTCCTGCAGCTGTGGCACAGGCACATCTTCCCCTGCATCCGGTGCTGCTGCAGGGATTACTCATCAGCAGTCAGGCAGGGTTAGCTCAGGGTAGTAAATTCCTCTGGGCCAAGCAGAGCCTCCAGACCTTGACAGTCAGCCCCTGAAGAGCTGTGATTTTTTTCCTGTGGATGATCTCAGCTCAATGGACTTAAGAGATTGGATCTCATCCTGTGACCTTTCTCACAGCACAAGTTGTTTGCTGAAATCAACCAGGACTTCTCAGGTGGGAAGGGATTGCTCCCATGGAGTAAAGAATGGGAACAGGGGCAGCAGAGATTTCTGCTGATGCTCTTTGTTGAGAGGTATTTTCCCCAACTTGTTCTTTTTGGCATTAAAACCACACATTAATTGAAACAAAGTGCAATGAGACCTGAATCAGTGACCCATTTCTCCCATTTTTGTCAAAAGGCAGATACACATCAAATATTAAGCAAGAACTGGAAGATCTCTGTGCCACCGTCTGCAGCCAGCTTCCTGCTGTGTTACATGTTACAATTTGTTATTAAAATCAGATACACAGGCCTGGTAAACAAGGGAGGATTGCTGAATGACCTGAGTACATTGCTAAATCTCCACACACAGCTGCAGCAGAGCTGTGATTTCCCCAAACATTAAACTGATCACTAAATGGCCTCCTATGTACTCCGAAATGAGCTGGCAGGGGAGTGGTGAGGTTATGAGTTCCTGGGCTGCCCTCCATGACCTGGGATGACCACAGTGCTTCCTCTCTGCAAGGTCTGCCTCCACACTGGCATTCCTTTCCAGGAGTTCCAGAGCTGACTGGGTGAAGGCAATCTCCATGGAGCAGATAAGACCTTGTGTGCTGTATGGCACAGCATGCTTGGAGAAGAAAAGTATGTAAAGTTGGGCCTGCTCCAAGAAGAAAGTGTGCCAGCCTCAGGGCTATTTTTGCTAATGGAGTAAAAAGTCTCTGAGAAGTGATGACCAGCACATAGAACAGCCTTCCTATGGCATTTAAGTAGCAGGATAGTCTTATCAAAGTTAATAAGAAGCCTGGCTGAATGCAATATATTCACAATTTCAAAGAGAACACATGGATGCTGAGCACCCTCCTTGTCCAAGCCAACGGGGCACCCAGCTGTGACCGTGTTCATTCACAGGGGCCTCAGGATGAGGGAAGAGATGAACATCTGACTCCATGCTTCAGAAGGCTTGATTTATTATTTTATGATATATATTACATTAAATCTCTACTAAAAGAATAGAAGAAAAGGTTTCATCAGAAGGCCAGCTAAGGATAGCAAGGCAAAGAATGATAACAAAGGTTTCTGCTCGGACAGAGAGTCTGAGCCAGCTCACTGTGATTGGCCATTAATTAGAAACAACCACATGAGACCAATCACAGATCCACCTGCTGCATTCCACAGCAGCAGATAACCATTGTTTACATTTTGTTCCTGAGGCCTCTCAGATTCTCAGGAGGAAAAATCCTAAGGAAAGGATTTTCCATAAAAGCTGTCTGCAACACCCAGCTGATGTGGGGAAAAAAGCCCTGGACTTTGCAAGCTGGGGTTGAAACAGCTGGATCTCCCTGAGGCCATTGTACAATGGGTTTTGTAAGAGGTGACTGTGGAAGGAATCTCATCTCCTGGCCCCACTACAGCTCCAAACAAGGAGGTATAACAAAGCAAGAAGTGTTCCAGGTTACAAAGTGTCCAGCACCCACCGCTTCCCGCAGGCAGAGTTTCTTCAGCTCCTCCAAGCGCTGGCGCAGCGTCTCCTCCAAAGCCTCTTGCCTGGACTTCAGTGCAGCCAGCATGTCTTTCTTGGCAGACTGAGAGCTGTCTGACTCTTGGGAACCTGTCAATAAACAATGATTTCACTAAGCCAGCTGACAGCAGAACACACATCTGGAGAGCCTGTAATTTTACCACAGCCTGGACGCAGCCCTTCCAACAAGAAATGGGACTGTGACATGAAGCAGGTGTTACCCAGGCACTTCTGTTTACAGCAAATCCTTAATGTTTAAGCTAACAGTCAGAGATTCAACAGTGGAGCACATAAAGACGTTTGTAACCATTATCTGGAAAAATAAAAGCAGTAAAATGATTCATCTTAAGATCTTAGAGGAAACCCACATACAATTCCCATGAAAGCTCCCAGGGGCAAAGTACAGTTTACAAAACCCTGGAGATGCATTTTTTGGAAATTAAATCTAGGAGAAACCATTTGACAATACAGCCTACTTCTTAAGAACTGCAATTATCCCAGTAGCAAACATGTAATTCAATCCACTTACAAGGCCCGTTCTATGAAAAACTGTAATGGAACAAAATTACCTAGGAAGATTCCTGTAAAACACACCAAAAAACCCCAACCATAGCTCCTTCTGGGGTAGTAGCTGTTTCTTGTAAAGATGTAGGTTGAGATACTTAACTGCATGTCCAAATGGCTTGGCTTTTCAAGTGGCAATTACCAGCAACTCCCACTGAAGTAGGGCTGGGCATTAAGTCAGACTCTGTTGCTCAGATGTCATGACAACATTTGTAATTTCAGCTCTTCAGGGGAACTTCTTCATGAAGCAACCTCATCCTCTGTCACTATGTTTCCCCCACACACAGTAAAGGATGGATATTCTCCTTATCCCTCCTTTTGCTGCTGGTGTATCAATAGAAGCATTTTTTTCCAGCAGTGACCTGTTCCCTGCCCCTCCTGAGCAATGGCACAGAGCAAGCAGACCTTCATTATCTGCAGCAGTCAGATACAACAGGATGCTACATGAAATTTTCTGTGCACCTGTCATCAGATGGGGGTTAGAGGGGCCTCCAAGCATTCAGTGAAAACACTCAGCCCAAGGAGGTTGAAAAAGCTGTTATTTCACAGAGCTTTGGAACGAATCTGGGAACAATTCTTTATTTTGGCAGCAAAACAGTGAAATTTGTGCTTTCAGCTTCATCTTTCATTGCTACTATTCCAGCAGACCATTAAAGCTAAATTGAAAGGGGATTGGGGCAAAAATTGCTACAAAACATTTCTCCATTGGCTCAGGGGGATCAGGGAATCTCACAGATCTTTTCCACCAGTATTTTCTGCAGATAACTGGCTAATTTATTAACCACTTATTAAACCACTAATTTATTCAGTGAAACACCACTCTGCTTCCTTACACCTTTTAGTGAGCTATCCTGAAGTGAAGGTAGAGGAAAAGATCTCCCTAAAGGTCAGCCAGGCTGAGCATCATCAGACAAAGGAGGAGAACCTCACAGTAAGATATCTGTGTAATTGCTGTAGTCATCATTGTTTTATTTGTGTTTGCCCTCCTAAAGCAACAAAACTCAACTCTGCAGACACTTCTGTGCTGGAAGAACTTGATGGGACCTTCTAGAGGAGCCCTGTGCTTGCACTGGCAGGGAAAGTCCTCTCCAGCACTCAGTAATTCTGAATAGTAATCCTGGTGAACAGGTATTAGAAAAACTGAGCTGCTGAATTTCTTCATGGACTTGTCAACAAACTGCAGAGTCCTGGTAAAAAGTTGCTCACGATTCCAGCAGATGTTTGGAACCTTTTTCTTTTTTTCTTTTCTGACAACTTGAATGACCTATGTTTTCCTTTCAACTGCTCTTCCCCTTTCCTTCCTCTGTCTGCTCCATACCTCCACAGCAGGCTCAGATTTATTTTTAAAAGCTATTCCTTTTTGCTGTGTGGGTTGCCACAGCAGCTACACAGAAACATTTACAAGCATCTGGCCAGCCCCCTGTGCTGATTTGCGGTGTGCCCACAAGCAGGAAACAAAAGGCTGCTGGCTGGGCTGGTAGGGACCCAAATCAAGCCCAGACAGTTCACAGCATCTGCTCCAGCTGTGTTTTCCATGTGAGAACCATGCTGCTCTCAACCCTGACACAATTGGTGCACATTTTGTCCACTGAGTGCCCATTTTGCCATCTTTTTCACTGCTCCCACAAAACAAAGGAACTGGAGGGGACCTGGAAGCACACAGTCACATTCTGAGTGAAGCAATGGGATTACTGCTGAAACCAAAGTCATTCACTCACTGGCACTAATGTTGGTTTTGAATTTTTATTTAAAAGCTGAATTATTTTGCAGTGTATTATTAGATTTTCATTGGCTGGATTCTCTGCTTGTTCTCATGGGTGAAAAGGAACTGGTAACTTGATCAGTCAAGAGAACCACCACTGCATGAGATGACTGTAAATGAGCAGAGAACAATGCTTTGTATTGCTGGGTGCCTATGGCTTCCATTAGAGGCATTTTATTTATAAATATGAATCAATCCTACCTTGAATAAGGCTGTGATCAGGGATCCACTTCTAAACCCAGTGGCAATTGACCCAAAAATGTCATGACAAATCAAAATGCCGTAAAAACAACCAAGAAATAAACAAAGACCAGCACAAATCAAACCAATCAAGCAGCTACTACCTTAAATCAGCCTTGTTAGATATGGTCACTGAGTCATGGCTGCCCAGTGCCTTCCAAAGGGGATCAGCAACAGAGAAAAATCAGTCCTAAGAGATCAGCCTAAGAGGCTCCTACAACAACAGAAATGGTTGACTGGGAGGCTTTCTCAGGTGTTTTATCTCCCACAATTAGGGTTAACTCCTAATGCAGTAAATGGGAGAAATGTTGCTGAAATATATGATTTTCCTATATGGCATTTGTGCCTTTTTTCTGGAAATTATTTTTCAGCCTCCTACCCATTTGCAGTGCAAGGATTTACCAAACTGCATTTTAACACACTCTTCTGCAGAACCATTTGATGTCCCTAAAACAAAAAGAGTTTTGAAAATACACCAGGCAGGAGGCACAAGGCCTTCTCCTGGTGGCCACCAGGGAGCTGCTGAACTGGGGGCTGGTTTTATGTGTATGTAGGGGGATATGTGCCCTTTCTTTCTCAGCACACAGGATGGGACACAGGCCTTGGTGACCTAAATGTCCACTTAATGCCCTACTAATTTGTGGAAGCAGCACTCAACTTCAGATAACCACATGGCCCCTCTGAGTGATTTCTTCATCCACTGACATTCAGGAGAACATGAGCTGAGAAATGCAGGGGGGAACATGATCCTCCCTGTCCAACTCCTTCTCCAGCAGAATTCATGGCTGAACTTCACCAATGCTAACAGGTCGAGTTCTGCTCACTTCCATACTGGTGAGGTCAGGACAGTCTTGGGGATGTCGAAGGGGACATGCAGCACATGGGTCACACCCCTGAAGGATCTGGTCAATTGTTATTCAGGTACAGGTCTGCTGGGGTCCAAGACAAAGTTTGCTTTAAAGCCTGCCAAAGGGGTGAGAACAGACACCACTTTGGAGAGAAGAGTCCTACCAGTGACTCATTGGTTGTATTTCCTCCATCTATTGTAGCAGAGTGGAGTCAGCTTGGAAAAGGGATGAATGAGAAGGATGAAAACAAGTAGGGAGGACAGATGAGATGCTGAAGAGCAGAGAGAGCCAAGTCTTGGTGACCCCAACACTCAGGGGAGAGGAGAGGAGATGCAACAAGGTGGCTGAGCAGCAGCAGCAAGGCAAAAACACCCAGGCATCTCTTCTCTGTCTCATTCTCCAAGTCTCCTGCTCCAGGAAAAACACATCTAAATATGGCAAACCCTCACTCTACATCCGGCTGCTGGCTCCAGCTCGCTGGCATTTGGCTCGGGTCCCTGTGGAAGGTCCCCTGAGCAGGGAGGGAAGTTTCCCCCACGCTCACTCTGTGCCAGAGCCTGGGCTGACTCACTGCCCCAGGATGTCAGTGCACAGCCAGCAGCAGCCCCAGACAGCCCCTATCTGTGCTCTCTGCCCAACACATGGATTTCCTCTGCGGCGTGGTATTGAAACAGGATGACCCCTGTGGCAGGGAGAAATGATGCAGAGCACTCCAACTTATCAGAAGGCTAATTAATTACTTTATTATGCTGTATTATTCTATACTATATTACATCTAAACTGAATCTGCCACTCCACTGCAGTCCTCTCATGACTGTCAGCCAACAGTCCCGACACACACACACACACACACACACACACACACACACAGACACACTCTTGGCCCTGACAGGCCAAGGAAACAAAACACCATCACTCTGGGTAAACAACCTCCATATTGCATTCTACTTTGGCACAAACACAGGCACAGCAAATGATAGAATTGTTTTTCTTTCTCTGACGTTCAGAGAATGTGAAACCCAGAAATATTCCTGGGAAAAACTGTGCCTTGCTTTTCTCTCTGAAGAGAAATGTGGTGACACCACGGGAGCTCAGCTGGAGCTGCTCCACAGAGGATGAGCTCAGATCTCCTGTAGGCTCTCTCCTTCACCAGCCCTGCACTCACTCCCTCACTCCTGGTGGGTGCTGTGTATCTGCTGGATTCACTCCAGCTGGGACACAGCCCTGCCGGATGCAGCGGCAGCGCTGGGAACTGCCTGGACTCTGCTGTGGTGTTTGCAAACAGAAACAGCCCCTGCACAGAAACTCCCACTGCTGCAGAAGGAATGGGGCTCAGGGGCTGGAGGCTCCTTGAATGTGCCTGTGGAGCTAAAGCAGAGATGCTCATCTGGGATCGCCTCTGCCCACAGAGATGAGAGGTGGTCTGGAGTTCAGTCCAACTGTTGTAGATAGATAATGAGATGATTTGCTCTTGCAATTAAAAGATAACTGTTGTGTGAATATTAATAAAAGCTTTAGTGATGTATAGTTATGTTATCCTAGTTTAGATGCCCTCTGTTCTCCCCATAGTTCCCTTTCACCCTCCTGTATTGTTGCCATCAGACAGCCATGGTTGTCTAGGACAGGTACAAAGAAGGCAGCACAGGTGTCCCTTGCATGGGGCAGTTGGGAATGGAAAAGCTTGGTGCTTAGGGGGTGAGGCATGGCAACACCTTACCTCCAATCAAGGTACAAGAAAGCAGTCTCCAGTGACAAATGGCAAAGAAGAGCTGACTGACAGACTTTGGGAGGGGCCAGGGCTGGCTGATGCAATCCCCAGGGGTATAAAAGACTGAGCATCCATCCTGAAGATGAACTGGCTGCATGGTATGCACGAGGGGCAGTTCCCAGTGCTGCAGCTTTTTCCTTATGTAGTCCTCTGCTGTTTTTTTGTTACGGTTTAATAAACCTTTTTACATTTCTCACACAACCATAACCAGGAGAATACAGGGCTCCTCACTAGCTTGCAGACCTGCAGAGCTCTTATGGCACAGACTCCGAAGGAAAAATCCATCATAGAACCAACCTGGTTTTGTTCTGCTGGCTTTGATTTGGTTCCTGCCTGTGCAAAAGCAGAGATTTCACTCACAGGCAAATCTCTCCCCAGATGTCCAGGGATGGCCCACAGACCCTGAGCAGAAGATCCCTGAGCTAAATCACAGCAGCCCACTGTCCTAGGCAGAACCCTTCAGATCCAAAATGAGGACAGAAGTTAGAGTCAGCTTATCAGAAATGGATTTGGGCATCAAAATTACAAATCTGCACTGGAGAGCCTGAGATCAAGGGTGTGGGAAAAATGAAGGAGTTACGGCTTTGGTCTTGAAGTGCTGTGATCAAGAGGAAGCCACTTCCCAGTGTGTAAGACTTCATCTCCCCTCTGCTGTCTCTTGAGACTGTAAGTGATGTGGAGCAGTGACTGCCTTGTACTGCACAGCAGGATCTTCTCCAGACAGTGTGACAGCTGGAAGCAACAACAAACTTTTCCTTGCAGACTTGCTGCAAGCCCAGGGGAGACATGCCAGTTTTGGCACACTGCTCATGGCTCTGATGGCCCCCCAGTGAGGAGGAGTGAGATGGAGGGAGGAAATGACTACAATAATTTTCAGGAAAAAAAAGGACTGAGAATAGTAGGGAAGTGGGGGCAAACAGAGATTCATTCCTGACCTTGTGATTTTGAGTCACTTGAGGTATTTATAGCCTGGAAGTCTGCTGTGGCCACTTAATCATTTGCACTTATTCTCTCCAGCATGCAGGCTGTACTGAGATAACCCATCATTGTTGTGGTTGTGTGCCGATAATCTTTGGCACAATGGGAGGAAACACAAAGCCTGGGACAGAGCCAGTGACTGTGCCCAGTGGGACAGACACTGAATGCCCCCTCCCATCCAGTGGGACAGGGATGGGCCACCTCCACCAGCCAGGCAGGAGGGAGGGGGATCTTGCAGCAGAGAGGTCTGAGTGTGGAAACAATCCAGGGTTTCCAATTCCCTGATACCTGACCTGGGCCAGACATTTTCTCTAAATACTTTCTTGTTGCTGCTGGTAGCAGCAAACCCTGCAGCTCTCCTCAACATTTTGGGGAGAGCCCTGTCCTCAGAGCTGGCAGCTCAGAAGAAAGGCACACGGAGGCAGCTGTGCTCACTGGCCCACCAGCAGCACCTTGACAGAGACAGAGGCTCACACAGTCCTCTGAAGGCACCCAGGCAGGCAGATCCACCTCCCCAGGACTGAAGAAATGACTCACCTGGTCACTGAACTCTGGGTGGGTCTACTCACTGGTGCAATTCTGATGAGTCTACAAACCCTGTGCTCAGCCAGAAAGGTGCAGGGAGCACAGAAAGTTCACAAATAAAAGCATGGGCAGCTCCCAGTTTGGAATTTTCATACACTTATCCCTGAGAGATGCTGGGCCCACCCCAGCTTTTCTGAGCCTGATTTTTTGCTGGCTTTCACATGACTACTGCTCTCTCCAGGTGTAAGAGCAGAAGCAGACCCCAGTGTTGTTTTTTATTTTTCCAGGAACACAAAAAGTCCATGTATTAACATGGAAACAGGATTACTACCAAGTAGCTCTTACAAACTTAGGAATGGTGCCCAGGAGGCTGAGATCTTGGAAAGACCTTAAGAGCTTTCTCGGGGTACTTAATGCTATTTACTTTCCAGCAGGAGAGCTGGAAAAAATGCCAAACAAACAAAGACTTCCAACAACCTGACACCAATCTGGGAGCTGCTGAGCTACTGCAACTCCCCAAGCGATGGGAGGCACAGACAGAGGATTGTACACTTTGTCAGGAAGAGCTCAGGAGCAGAAAGGCAACTCTGTTTGCAGGCAAGGCAAGGAATTGCACAGCAAGCAGCTCTGGAAGCACTGCACATTTTAACCCCTTGCTGAGCATTTTCCAAGCAGGATTTTAAGAGACATGAGGGATATAGTGATGCAAAGCTAAATCACTACATCAGTGTGGGCTCAGTTTTAAAGCATTTGCATTCTTAGATAGGTTCTTCCTTTGTCCAAGCCTGAGAAAGTTATTTTCTGCTGTTACACATCTCAACACATTTGGTTTTGATAAATTGGTGTGATGCTTAACAGAAGGTATTTAATTGTCTGAAACTGTTAATTATGGTGATATGAAGAAACCTTGCCCTCCTGAAGAGCTCACCTAAGCACCTTCAAGCTCTTTGCTAAATTTCACCTGCTGCTTTAAGCCTGCAGTGACATTTCTTACTGTTTTGCACACAGCTTGCGTGGTTCAGATTGACAGAAAAGTATCAAAGAGTCACAACCTCCTGACCTGCCTTCTCCAGTCCTTCTCTCCTCCTGCTCTAGCTCTCCTCTGCATCACCTTCCCTTGGGTTTCTCTCACACATGACATCTTCCTCACACAGCAAAGCGCTCTAAGCCACAACAAGAAACCTTCAGGACCCTGGCACTAGTTTGGCAGAGTGCTATGGAACAGTTCTGTGGAGCCTGGGACAGCAGCCAAATCCCAGCAACAGGGAGGCAAAGCAGATGTGCACTCAGTGAAGAAGGCACCCTGTTTCAACAATGCTGAGGAACATCACCAGTTCCCAGCCTCAGTTTCCCTTGTGAGCTGCACTGGGTGATTGCTTCCCCACTGCTGGCTGGGCACTCCTTCACAAACCCATCTGCTTCAGGATAAGCTGGACACCAAGGGATGGTTAGGGTAGAAATTGTGAAAGTTTCAGCTGGAAATTGAGAGGTTGGAGATGACATCCTGGTGTCAAGGAGGAAATGAGTGGTGGTGAAGAGAGAGGGGGAGGCTGCTGCCTGTGCTGTTTGTGGAGCAGTGTGCTGAGAGATGCACTGCCACCTGGACAGACAGAAAGACTAAAGGGAAGTGACTTTCATTTCTGCAGTGCAGCTTCTGGCTGCTCCCCATTTACCATGGCCATGGCCCTTCCCACCACACTCCCTCCAGTTACACCTACCTGATGACAGGAGACTCCCGCTGCTTCCACTGATAATTTTGCCTTTACTCCCCATGTTGGCCAGCTTTGAGGTCTTGAGGGTTCCAGTTTCAGTCAGGTCAATTGCAATCTCACTCAGGCTTCTTGCAGCATGAATCTTGGACTGGAGGTGGACACAGGAGTCAGTAATGATTTAACGCCTTTTGAAAGCTCACAGAAAGACAAAAACCTTTTGCTGTGGCAGGAAACAGGCCTCCACAGCAAACTTGGATTATTTTACAAGAATAGAAGCAATCTGGCACAGTATTCACTACTGTACTTTTTACATTCTTAAGTGGGTACAATTCTGGCATTGCTTCCTGTTTGGGTTTTTCTCTGCTTTGCCATGCACATTTTTTCTCTCTTAAACAAAGGACATATGGAGTCACTGTTTTACCACATACAATAAGAAACCTTCAGAAATGCCATCATAATAACCTGCTGAAAAGCTCAAAGGCTAAAGACCATCTCTAGCATCTAAAGGAAGCCAGAAGGGGCCTTCACAAATCATCAATAAGTTTTGGAACAAGACACAGTGAGGACATGCCTTAAATGGGCTGTCATGAGAAGCTGGAAGAAAATCCTGACAAGAAAACACATTTAGGTTATTGTCCAGACTAACAAGCTGCATGCAATGCCCCTACTGTGAGGGACCTCTTCAAAGCATTAACATTACTCTAGAGGAAACAACAGCCAGCCCAGCTCTGCAACTGGCCACACGAGGGCATGGCCATTGTTCCCCACCAAATGTCAACAAGATTGCTGAAATTTGTAATTACAAGAAAGTAAATAATGCACAGTGCATAAACCTAGAGAACAGAATAGAATAGAATATTTCAGCTGGAATGGACCTCCAACAGTCATCTCAGCCCACTGCTCAAATCTTACAAGCCCTGTGCTTCTGATCTTCCATTAATCTGTCCTTGCAGGGCCACTGACCTCCAATTTTAATTTCCCAGAACACAGAAAGCTGTTGGTATATTTTGCCAAGACTCTCCAACTGCAAGCAGAGTTTTATCCAAAAGGGGGTGAAGCCCCAGTTCAAGATCACTTGAGCATTGACCTCTGCACCTTCTCAAGGCCAGAAGAGACTCAGCCCTGGCCATACAGCTCAGGAGATGGGCACATCATGACTGTGCTAACAAATCAAAGCTGATTGATGTCCACACAGCAGGGTGTGATCTGCTCCCACTGGAAGTAACATGAAACAGGACAACAAGGAATGCTGGTCATGATGGAATCTTCAGTGTTACTTCACATCCTCAGGAAGAAGAAACCATTCCAACAAGAACTAAACCTTAACTGATGGCTGAGTGCTCACCACTGAGCTTCTCAGCTCTGTTGCTGATGTGCTGTGGGGCTTTGGGTAAGACACTTAACCTTAAGTTCTTAGTGATCCCCACCTCTGTTTGCATATCAGTGAAATAATAAGGGAAGGAAAATGTCTCCCTGTAGCACACTGTATTTTTAAGATTAATTTAAGACTGCAAATGAAGACAGCACTGGGAAAGCCTTACGCTGAAAACACCCTCAGAAGTGTTATCATAATTTAATATTCTTGGATATTTATAGGCTCCATCACTGCCATTCTGAGGAACCCAAATGCCTCACAAGCTTATTTCCTCAACAACCCCAATAAAAGGGCATGTGCTATCACTTGTTTGCAAGAGTGAACAGTGCAGTCCTTGTGAGTGCAGAGGCTGAACTACCTGACAAGATATCAGAGCAGATCAGTCAACCAGTACTGTCCCTCTTCAACTAATGCTGTAACCAGTTAGACACTTCTCATTTCCAGCAATTCATCCCTAAAATCAGCCCCAGGAGAAGGACAGCACTCTTTAGCTTCTTGGATCAGATGTTTCTGGTCAGAAAGAAGGCCTGTGAAACATCTTCTTCAAATAGTTCTGGAAGGTTAGTTCCAGGTGAAGAGGAAAATCACTGCTTTTATCTAATGAGATTTCCTTCTCCTGAAGTCTTGATAAGGAGCCTCAGCATGAACTGCTGTCTTGCTGCAATGCCAGACCTTTGGAGGTAACAAACCTCCCAACTGACTTATCCTGCTGATAAATCCCCTGCAGGTGTGTATATGCTGTATAACCCTATGTATCTGTAGGGTCATGTGTACTTTGTATAACCCCAGGAAACAGCTATGTTCATCAAACCCAGTGTCTGCCTGACCCAACACTGAGTCCTGGCAGTGGATGCCTCAGAAAGGCACAAACCCCAGGTCTGCATGGACAGATCCATCCCTCCTGCTCCATGAAGCAGTGCTTTTCCTGTTTTATTTGGACAGTTACAGCAAGCAGCCCTGTAGTTTATTTCCACCCATTTTCAGAATGCAAATTAGGGCACTCTCTGGCCTTGCCTGTCTGACTGGGCACCAACCAAAGTGCTGAGTGAGGGCAGTGTGGCTGCTGGGTGCTGCTGTGGTCCTGGCCAAGGAGCACTGGCTGGAAGTGTACCCTATATAGGGCAAATGAAAAAGTGGTATAAAACCAAAGCCTGGCATCCCTGGAGCAAGGAGAGAAGAAAAACAAACCAGTAGACAGGATCAGCAGGGCAGAGTGAGCTTCCTCTGCAGAGGGTTCAATTCAAACCTGCTGAAACCACAGGAGAAGGTTTTAGATCCAATATTGCAGTTGAGCTAATGGTGCCCTGCACTGAACACTGCAGATGAAACATCTCCTGAAGGAATGGGGTTAACTTTCCTTGCTGCTCAGTCCCTGCTGCCTCCAGCAATGCCAGTCAGCATTGGGTGGTCTGTGCCTTGGACAGGCTCTCAGCAGCAGCAGCAGGAATCAGAGCAACAGCTCATTTCACACAGGCCACTGAGCAGCAGCCAGCTCTGGCCCGTGCAGGCAGTGTGCTGCAGCACAGCACTGCAGAGCTGGGTTACACCCCATTAGTGCTCCCCCAGCCCCACAGTCCCTCCAGGCTCACAAATTTGAAGCACTTAGCACAGACCTGCCAAGTCTCATTTACATGGAGGAAGACTGGCTCATTCATGAGTCATTTCAAAGCATGGGGCCAAACTGATCCCCAGTGCTGTTCTGACAGGGTCAGAGGGTGAAGAAAAATCCTTAAGTGGAATGAGGAAGAAGATGGACACTAGGGATGAATTTATCCCTCTTGCTGCAGTGATGGGGCTTTGCTGGAGGTGATTTTTTGAAACCCTTGTCCTATTTTCTACCAGTTCATTCAGCCAAAAAGCTTTGCACTTGGAGGAATGTGGTGTTGAAAATTCCCACAAAATGGGACTTCTCAAGGTTTCTAGGCCAAGAGTTTGATTGACTCAGTGCAGTCAACAGAGCAAAGACATGCCTTCAAGTCCTGCTGCATCTGTCTCTTGAAAAAAAGGGAAGCTGACAGGAGTTCTGCATGCTGACAAGCTCACTTGGGAAGCTGGGGATCTTTTCAGTCTCCATGCTATGCTTGGATTGCAGGGAGAGAGAGACAGATCAGCAGGGAGCAGACGCTGGGTTCCCAGGGAGCTGGCAGGAGTTCAGCACGGAGTGAGGCTGGGACCTCACTTGCAAAAGGGTCACAATGCAGGCAAAGAGGATTTTATTTCCTTTTAAAATCAAGTGAAGGGTTTTCTTTCCAGTGGAGCTGTTGGTCCAGATCCAACTGGTGCCCAGTTATGTGAGGAGCAGAGTTCAAGCTTGCTTTATCACTGTGTCACATCTCCCAGCATCTAATCTACATCACTAGAGCAAAGGCTCAGCTGTACACTGAGCTCCAGCAGGCTTTTTCCTCTAAGTTTGTTTTTGTTTTTCTTTCTTTTGTCAAAATGATATGAAATGCCAAGTTTGGACATGAAAGGAAGGAATATCTAAGTTTTGCTTTGAAGTTGAGGATTCAATTGAAGTGGGGCCTGAGATTTAAGGGGCTGCAAACCCATGCGACCTGAAACTCAATAAATGTTTGTCTAGGCCCCTGAGAGCTGAACCAAAGACATTTCACATTTTCACATCACCCCACTCTGGGGTATGATTTACTATTTCCCCAAAGTGAAGCTCACATGAGCACTGTGTCCTTGAAGGGATCAGCAGGATGAATTGAACAGATCAATTAAAATTGATGGATCTATCAATATTGACAGTGTCACGTCAAAGATGAGGACAGCAGATGAAAATATCAGTTCCCTTAAGAGAAAAGGACAAAAATATTTGTATGCCTTAACTTCAAAGCCTCAGCATGACCACTGGGATTATTGTGACAAAGCATGCTGACATGGTCACAGACGTGACAGGTTGACAAACGAGGGCTGGTGGGTGGTGCTGCCTGTGGGACTGTGAGAGAGGGGAGATAAAACTGAAACACAATCTGCCAACAACAAAAGGAGTCACTGAAGGGAAGTCCTGGGTGTTTCAGAGACCCAGTTTCTTACCAAAGAAATGAGAGGAGGAGGGAATCTCCTTTTGTTTGTTGATTGCTTGTGACCTAAATACCTTGCAGCTAGATCAGCAAATCCATCTGGCTAAAAGTAAGGAAAAATAAACTTGTATTTGCTTGAAATTTATCCCTGAGATGACAGAGAGGACTATGAACTGCCCTGATGGTCCTGAGCAGAGAAAGGGGACAGGAAAGCTTCCCTTGGTATCAGTGAGTATTTAATTTTGTCCATATTACAGCTGGCACTTAGGCAGGGCTACATCCCTAAATTCCATACAGCTTACAACAACTATGGTGAAACCTGGATTTTTACATTAGATGAGACATGGCCACAGTGAGTGCAACCATGCCCAAGGCATCCAAAAGCCCTCAAAAATAAAATCACAGAGCTTATGATGGGGAAAGCAATGTCAGAAGGGCTTAGAACAAGTGGGACTAACAGCACACTCATGGCCCTCCACGTAATTCCAGAAAGCCAACTCAATTCATTTAACTGGCAGAAAAAATAATGAACTAAAGAAAAACAGGAAAAAGAATTATTTTTCTGCCAGTTTAGTGGGCTGAACTGGCTCATGAAGGGACCTGATAGGGCCAGGGCCTGAGCAAGGAAGGACACACCCCCAGCCTGAAAACGTGTGCAGAGATTTCAACAATAGCAAGATGCTAAGATTGTTTCAGGCATTTGGAGGAACATCACCTGCACATTCTGCCATTTCACCAGAGATGAGGACCAATGCAGGTACCCACTCAGTACAGGCTCTGTTTTCTCTGTGAAGCTTTACACCAGCATGCTCATATGGAGAGGGAAGTCTGCCTGAGAACTCTTTTCTCTGTATCAAAGTAATCTCAAAGTGATCAAAGCAATCTCCTGCTGCTCTGGGTATGCCTAAAATTACTGATGAAAAGAATTAAGAGGAAGAACACATACTCCTCTGGTTTAAAGGTGGTTTCTTTTGTGTGTTGCCTGGCCCTTTGTGAAGCACCAGTTTGTGATAGCTCCTTGTACAGCCAGGCTGTTGAGCCTCCTGGCCCCCCTGCTAAAATAATATCCCTACCCCTCCTTTCTAGGAAAATACAATAGCAAAAGTCAAGGCACAGCAAGAAGAATCCAGAGACACTTGTAGGTTGTGAAGCTACTTTGAACTCAGTTATTGGAAGCTGCCCTAACTTTATGACAGACATGGAAACCATCCAGACAGGGATGTTGACCCCATCTGCTTGCTAACTTTGGCTCCTTCAATTTGGCCACAGTTCAATGCAACCTTTTCCTCAATTCTTACTCCCATAGGCATGAATATGAATACAAATTTTCTCACTCTGGTCAGGACTAGAACATATCTTTAGTCAATTTGCTTTTTTTTGGGATCTTGAGCAGAAAGGGAGGGCAGGGAAGAAGCCACCATCTGGACCTGATGTGGCTGGGACTGTGGGGAGTGAGAAGGACTCACCCACCACAACTGGCATTTCTCATGCTTACCTTGCTTTGCTTCCTGTCCAGGTAGAACTGGTGTTGACTAATGGCCATAGCCCAGATGGACTTTATTAATGCTGGACAGGCGTACCACGTGTGCACAGCAATGCCACTATGCCCAAAAGTCCTCCTGGTCACAGATGCCCTGGAGAGGAGAAAAGAATGAACTGGAGTTACACAAAGGTTTCACCAGGTTGCTTTCTGTGGCAGAACCTGTCACAGATCTCATAGTAAAAGCTGCTGTCTTTACTTGTGCTAATGGGAAAAAATGTTTAGAAACCAACAACAAATATCTAATCAAGCCAGGAGAGCATTTACTTCAAATATCTCCTCAAGACAGCAGTCTCCAGAGGACTAACAGTAAAGATCATCCAGTTTGCCCAGCTCAGACTGTATCCCTGGGTCTGGTTGATGCTGACTTGCTGCATATCCCAGGGGAGCCACCAAGGCCAAAGCCTGCATGAATCCCCTGTGTCTCACCACATGCAGAGACATCTGAGCCCAAGTCCTCACACCCTCCACTCCCTCCCAAATATCAGGATCCAGGTAACAACTGAAGATCCACAGGATCAAAGGCTGCTTTAGGGAGTGTGAGAGAAACTCTTCATGAACCTGCTTTCCCCACTTGTAAATAGATGTAGCAGGATTTGCCACATGGCATGGGGGCAGGGAGTTGTGAGGCTCAGAGGGGGCTGCCTAGTGCCCTGGAGAGAAGAATGGGACTCGGTGATTAGCTGAGTGAATTTAAAAACAGGAAAAATAAGAGCTAAATATTTCCTCTCTGGGACTCCCAGTTGTTCTCAAACATTAGCAAAAAAACACAGGTTAGGTTTCCCCCTGCTTTCACAGCTGTACAAACCTGCTTGATTATTCCTCCCCATCCCTCAAAAGCAACCCCACCAGCAGAGCCCCTGACACCAGCAGAGTGCACATTCAGGCTCTCAGCCTGAACCTCTGGAACTCCTCCCACTGCAGGGATGGAGCTCTGGCTGGAATAAACCACAGCACTGACCTCCAGAGCCCCAAATAAATGAGGGCCTCCTCTCCAGTCTGTTAAAATGGGTTTTGTGGTAGAGTAGGATTATGAAATGATGTCACATGGGTACAGAGGCTCGCTCAGAAGTGTGACACTTTTAGGGACGTGGATGGTGAAGACAGACCAGTGCAAGAGACAGCCTGGGGTGTGCTACACACAAGTGCCAGAGTCCACATTCAGCAGGGACTCTGAGCCATGCAGGTGTGCAGGTGGCACTGCAGGACAGCCCAGGAGCTCTACTGTGCCATGCAAGGGGGAGTCAGCTCTTTCACCAGCACTCACAAGTCCTCAAGCCTGCTAGGGTTCCCCTCCTGCACCTGCACCTCTCTTCTGGTGCCTGTGGGCCACTGCCTTGTCCAAAGCTGGAGGTGAACATGGAGGGGTGAACAGCTAAAGAAAGTTGTGATAGAGCCAAGAATGAAAGAAAACCGGAACTCTGCAGCAAAATGAGAATTACTGGCAATGTTCAGTCTGGGACAGGGCTGACAGCCATTGCACCAGGGCTTTTTCAGTGCTTCAAAATGTGTTAAAGTCAAATTATGGAGCTACAAATCAGAGTGAAATTTCTGAGAAAGCAGCTGTGGCCAATGCAAACAAGGTCTGAGACAAGTGGGATCTCATGTTTCAGTGTTACCCTGTGCAGAGTCCTTTCCTTGTAAATGGTGCTACAGACCTTGTCCTATTACCAGTACTGTTCTTGGGAGAAAATCTCCATGGATGCAACTGATGGTGCTGGGCTGCCTCATTTCTGTCACTGGACAGGGAATGAAGGCTGTGCTGGGAGGTGTTCTTGAAGCTGAGACTGGAGAGTGGATGCAGCTCTGGATGTTTTATATTGGTCTAGGGACACAAACCACCACAGCACACTGGCACATAAAGCTCTAAGGAAATTAAGGCACTCAAACATGGGCTGAAGCCTTAATTCGGGTGTCCTCCCACTCAGTTCAAACACAGTTATCCTGAATTCTTAGAAATATATTCTGCAATTCATTCATCTTTTCACTGTAAAAGCAGCGATTTCTAATTTTTTTCCTTTTTGAAATCTGTACATATTTTCCTTTAAAACAGCAGACTCTAGATCATCTTCAGACTGTTGGTCAGAGCTGTGGATTTGCTTTTCACAGCCGTGTTTGAAGATCTGAGAGATATAGATCACGGGTGTTTTTTCCACTACTTCCCTCCATGCATGCTACATGCACTATGGAATGAATCCTGTTGATAGCCCCTAAAATGTATAATTTTCCTCCCTTATGAGATAACTAACTGCAGTGAAAGGAGGTTAAATGGCTTGTTGGGGACAGGAAGCCACGGGCAGAGGCAGGGTTTAAAAACATACATTGTGCTGCCCAGCCCTGGCCACAGCCACGGAGCCGTGCTCGCCCTCCTGACTGTGGCTTCGCTGACTCAGGCTCTGGTTTGGCTGGGAGGAGAGGAATGTGGAGAGAGCACTGTGCTGGCTACTCCTCCGCCTCCACAGGCTGAACAACTCCTTGCAGGAGTCCATCCCACATGGCTGGGAGACTACAACCAGAGCTGTCTTCCCACCAGGCCACTGCAGCGTGCTGCGCTGCACTGCAGCCTGAGCGGCAGTTCCACCTGGATGGTGCCACTCTGGATACAAAAATCAATCAAAATTATACAAAATCCAACAAAACTAATTCCTCTGTAGCAAGAAAGTAACAGGCTGACAACCGGGGACAGGGCTTTGTCCTCCTGGTGTTGAGTCAGAGAAACAGAGCAACGGAATAAAGAACGGAAGCTCTTCTGTGTCACTAATTCCTATAATCTAAATACAAATGAGAGACAAGAGGCTGCTCTTTGTGGTCACATTTCACGCACGACATCGAGTTGCAAATGCCACCATGATTTTAAGGTCTCAGAGCTACTTCCTTTCTTTTTCTTGCAACTGCTCCCTCAGGAAACAGGCAGAACTTGGGGCATTTAGGGGCTCCTGGCTGCTGGTTGCTCCCAGCACACATTTCTGACACCTCTCCAGCTGCTGGAGCCTCGGAGGGGGAAGGAGTGCACTACCCCCAGCTCCTGTCGCTGGAATATCTCCCAGTGTATTCTCAACTTTGGGAATTTGCTCTGCTAGATTTCATGTGACTGTTTACATGCTTAATATTAAGCAGATGCTTAGAGGTTCTGCTGATCTGGAGCTGTACAATGACATGAGCTGCTTTACTCGCTGTTTGTTTTAACAAATGCACCTATGCAGACAGGCACCGTTGTACTGGTGTGGCTGTGCTCATATCAGGGTAAATAAGGATAGAAACTGCATGCAAAATTCCCCTAATAAAAGTACATATATTAATACACAGATAGGCATGGGAAACGACTGATCACTGCAACACGCTACTACCAGCAACACATCAAATCAGTCTGGGCAGAGAGATGGTTTCCATCAGTGGTATCATACTTACATTGCAAACAAATCATTGCTTTTAGTCAGAACAACTTTCAGAGCCACACACTCACTGTGTGCAGCAACCATCCAGTAATGCAAACACACCAGGGGTGCTGAACGCACTGATGGGATGCAGCACAGTCCCTGGAACTCTCACATTAGGATTCCAAAGTAAGGAAAAAAAAAAGGCTCCTGTGCCAAAAAGACTGATGGGCTTTCATCCAGGCTGCCGGTGGTAAACCTCTGGTTCTGTGCCATTGCTTTCAGTTGCACTACTGAATATTTATTTACAAAGAAGCGTGTGAGTACAAAATCTGGCGCTCATCTCCGGGCTCGGAGCAAAACACGGGGACAAGGCAAAATCCCCTTTCATACACGAGGGCTGCCAGCACTGCAGCCGAGGCACCGGAGCAGCACAGTCCCAGGGGTCACAAGGTGTCAGAACAGAGGGAAGGGGAAAAAAAACCCGCTGGGAGCCGAGGGGAAACACATCCTCAAAAACGCACACCAGACCCCGAAATGTCCGGCTGAAAGGAAGCAGCAGCCCGCGGCTTGGTACCCGCTGCTTCCCTCTCCCGTGTTCCCCAGCTCCCAAGGGCAGCGAGCCGCGCACAGCAGCGGGAGCAGCACCCGGCTCGGCACAGCATAGCCCGGCTCAGCACAGCCCGGCTCGGCACTGCATAGCCCGGCTCAGCACAGCCCGGCTCGGCACCGCACAGCCGGTTCGGCACCGCACAGCCGGTTCGGCACCGCACAGCCTGGCTCACCCGGCTCGGCACTGCACAGCCCGGCTCAGCCCGGCTCGGCACTGCACAGTCCGGCTCAGCCCGGCCCCTCTCGTGGCTCACCTGCGCGGATCGTGCACCTCCACCGAGAACTTCTTCTCGCGGAAATAGAGGTTCTCCAGCTGCCTCCATTGGAAGATCTGCAAGCAGAAGAAGGGGATGAGGCGCCTCGGCGCGCTCCCCCGCCCGGCCCAGCCCAGCCCAGCCCAGACCCGCTGCCGGCGCTGCGGCGGGAATGCCCCGCTGTGCTCCGCCCCGGCCCCGCGTCCCGCCCGCCTGCACCCGCGGGGCAGCCCCGGGGGCGGGCGGCGGCCTCCGTCCCTCCCTCCCTGCTTCCCTCCTTCCCTCCCTCCCGCCCGCCGGGCCCCGCTACCCGTGGCGGGCTCCGTGCTCGGGGCAGGCGGGGACGGGCGCCGCTTTCACTTTGCGTGTTGAAGACACATAAAAACTCCGGGCAAACCGGGATTCCACTACACTTTCCTTGGAGGGCTGGCACCTGGCGTGGTGCATCGGCCTCTGGCACAGCAGGCTCTCCCCGGGGTGAAGATCCCCCCGCTCCACCCCAGTGCTAATACCCAGCTCTGCTTTTATCCACGTAAAACTGGCAGGAGCATGACCGAGTGGAGTTTATCTGTCCCAGGTGCTGTCAGACTCGTGGTGGCGATGCCCAAGGCTCCAGGTGCTCCCGGCGGTACAAAACACGGCAATGAGCAGGTCATATCTCAGCCTCTGTTTTACAGGCTGTCCTGCCGGGGATATCTCAGAGCAGCATTGGGACAAAGCCTACACTACCACCAAGGGGGAAACTGAGGCATGAAGCTTTTCATGGGGGTGAAATGCGGCGTGCCCTCGCCCCTGAGCCAGCCATGGAGGGCTCAGCGTGCTCCTGGGCAGCAGGATGCGCTTACACGGCCCCTGTGCCCTCACTTCTCAGTGAAATAACACCCATCTCCCGGGCAGGAGGGCGGACCGACCTCAGGACGGCGCGAAGGACGCGGTGACAGTGAAATACTGCCAGCTCCGCAAACTATCACACCGTCACCACCGCGGGCAGCTCCACCACTGCCTCTTCCTTACAAATGAGTAAGCTAGAATCCAAACCCTGGCTTCCAGGCTGCCAATCCACAGGGAGGAGGCAGCCTCCACCCCCCTTGGCATCTCGGACTTCGGCTTCCCTGCACTGCCCGTAGCAAGCAGCAGGGCTGGGGAACGCAGCCCCGCTGCTGGGGAGCACAGGCAGCTGCGCTTTCCCTGATTTACACTCCCTCTCCCACTCCAAGTAGCTTCTGTGGAGTTCCTGTCCTGCCCCCAAGGAAGGCGCTGGCTCCTGACACGCCGAGATAAGGCTCGGCTGCCAGTGTCAGCGCTCTGGAGATAAGTAAACAGGAGGCGTAATTTGATTTGCACTGATAGAGCTGCTGGTGGAGCTGAAATCTCGAGAATAAAACAAACCTCGGAGAGGACCCAAAATGTTCTCCTTGCTGGTATTTCAGGGGCAGCAAAATTGAAAATATTTGTTAAAATTTCCAAGCAAGGTTGGGGTTTCTTTTCTCTCTCTTGTTTTTCCTTTCTATAATAGGGTGCTTATGGAAGGAAGGGTAGGGATTAAGAAGGGCACTGAGCTACCCTATATTCTAGGGCTGTCCACACTGCTGAGGGGGTAGGGGAAGAAGGGAGCCAGGAGAGATGGGAAGTCTGAAAGGCTGAGTTACATTGTCCTTAGAGGATTATTTTATTCCTCCACTGGAAATATTAATTGCTGCATAAAGCTTGTAAACACCAAACAAAGCACAGAAACACCCATTATTTTACCCACCAAGGGAGGACAGGCACAGGGTGAAAGGGTTAAGCTGGGAGCTGAAGTCTGACTCCTCTTTAAGTGCCTGGCTTCAAAGGCATGAAAAGGAAGTTTGGGGCCTTAACTCCCACAGACAACAACTGGGGTCAAGCTGAAAACATCCCTCGGTGCTTCCAGATGCCCATCTGCAAGGCGGGGAGGACAAGGCGGCTGTGCTGCATGGCATGTGCAGAGGACGTGTTTGGGAGCCGTTCAGACATGTGGAACACATAAGAGTCTGAAAAGCCAGCAGATCACACCCTTCAGAAAATGCCCCTCTGTCCCCAGGTCCCCCGTTGTCATTTATGACTAAATTTCGGCGTGGCGCAGAAGGAATTTGAATCTTTCCTGAGCTGCTGGCAGCTGCTCTGTTTGGATGCTGTCCTGCCCATCCTCCTCCCCTGTCTCTGCTGGACTGTCCCTTGTGCTCGGATCCTTTTCTATTTTACTCTCTCTGCTACCAAATCTCACAGTGCTGTTTGCTAAGGGAAGCTCTGTTTCTCATTTCTCTTCTATGATTAACTCCAACTGTCCAAACACACAGGGCTCTGGGGAAGCTGTTCAGATGCCCAAATGTAGGCATGGAGTGCCCTTTTCCATGCCCCAGGGCTCCCTGCCTGGCCCCTGGCTGCTGCCCCTGGTGGGAGGCAGCCTGACATGGGTCCTGTGCTGTATCTGCCAGCCCCACGCAGATGTCTTGGATCACCAGCAGTGCCTAAAACAGCATTAGACACCTACGTTTTGGGCACTGGAGCAGCTCCCCAGATTACTGCATTTTTATATTTAGCTTTGTTGTTTTCTTTGGCAGAAGGAGGCAAATCCAGACTCTTGGGAGGGAGGGGGTGGAATTGACCCCACAACCTAAATTTGTGTCTTTTATTCCATAGCTTTGCTCTCCCAAAAGTACATGTGTGTTTTACCATTGCTGTAATTGTGCTCTATCTGCTCCCCAAGTGTTATTCTACAGCATCCCACTCCTTTTTCCCACATTGATCTGAGAGGTCTCCCCCTTCCTATAGAAAAGGAAACCAATCTGCAAAAATGTGAATACCCACAAGAAAGTATCCACTTTCCTGTTAGCTGATCACAATCCCTCCAGAGAAACAAAGCCAAAGGTGCCCCTTCAGCCAGACCTCCTAATGTAAGCAAGCTGCTCCCTTCACCAGTTGCCCGCCTTATGTATGGTCTCAAATTGATGTTGTTAATGCAGTGACAGATGCACAAGGTGCCATTAGTAGGTCTTCCTAAATGGAAGCATAATTTTTACCCATCAAGATCCTTTTACCACGCTGGTGCTTGCAACCTTCACTGGGGAATAGAGCCCCAGCAGGGAGCTGGTCGTAATTTCAACAGGATCTTGTGGAAATGCAATGACAACAGATGCATGCTGGTTTTGGGGCTGGTTTGAGTCAAAGCACACATGTTCATGGCAGGTTTGCCTCTCCCTGCACTGAGGTTGGGTCTGGTTTTGGGTTATTTGGCTTATGATTGTCTTTAGTTAATTTCCTGGGCCGAATCCAATGCCTGCATATGTGGGTGGGAAAATTTGTATTGGTTTTACTGGGATTGCATCAGAGGTGCAACGACCCTTTGACAAAGAGTACTTCAGCAGAGACTGGGACAGCATCTCCCCAAACACAATGGAACTAGAACTTAGGAGAAAGTCAATCATTAACACAAGCTTGGAGCACAATTCCCCTGCCCTTGAGTGGCTGCCTTCACTCAGTGCCTGCAGACAAGGGGACAATCAGCAGTGCTGCAGAGGGCCAAGTCTGTGATGTGGTGGTTTGCCTGCTGGGTTCTCTTCTGAGGTCAGCAGCTCCTTTTGGATCATGCAGCACTGGGCAGCTTTCGGATGGGAACAATTTTTGGTAGTGGCCATCATTACAGGCTGCACATGAGATGATTTAATCTTCAACAGATACTTAAGGAAGTATCCATGAGACTGGCTTTTGAGCACAGCTGCACACTCACACATGCATGTGAAAGGGGCTAGTAAAAGAGGAGAAAATAATTACCCTTATTAATAAAATAATTACCCTTTGAATAAGAGAAATTAAGATATTAAAAAATAATTACCTTTATTCCCTCCTTCTCTGAGGGGCCTGTCCCCACCATGATCTCTGTTTCATCAAGCCAATAAAACTGGAACTGACACTATCACTTGAATTTGAAAAACTGCTTATCAACTTGTGAACATTCAAGGGAGTAACTGCTCCCCATCAGACAACATGCACTGTTTAAAATGTGTTGGGGTGGGTGGGGAGGCCATGATGGGGAAACCAGTGTCAGAAATGGCTTCTACAAAGCTGGCACCTTAGAAGAGGAGCCAGGAGAGAGATCTGAGTGCTGCATGGTGTGCTGTGGAGAATTCAGGTGCAAGCTACAGGAATTTTCTCACTAGAAACCCCTTCCAAGAGGCTGGCAAGCTTGCCAGGCACCAGATGTTTGTGACTAGTTACAAAGAGCTGCAGTCAAAACCCTTCAGACGCATTCTCCTTTTGTGAGCACACTTGTGGTTTGCTGGCTGCTCCGTAATTACGCTGAGCCTGGAGCCTGGAGCAGAGGGGGCCCAGCATTTCAGCTATGTGGGTCTGAAGGATTCTTTACCATTTTTATTGACCATGCTGGTACTGAGGAGTTTGCCTAACCTAGGAGGTAGGGTCAGTGTTGGAGTGTTTGAAAAATGCTGGAGGTTTGTGATAAAGCAGGGAATGTCTTTTGTGAATGAAATATCAGGGATTGCTTCTGGCTTGGTCACTCATGGCCTGGGTGACCTGGACTTCTGGAGAGGTGTGGGGACCTGAGTTAGTGTAAGGCACTGGGCTGTGCTCTGTCCCTTTGTGCTCAGGGAGCCTTGCTGGAGTATTCAGTGGAAGTGCTGTGCCATTTATTTGGGAGCCCCTGGCAGTAACGAGGCTGTTGCTTGCTCTGTGTTGCCCTTCAGCTCAGGCACAGGACAGAGGGGGTTGCTGAAGGCCAGCACTGGAGGTTGGTGCACAGTGCTCTCTGGACTACCTAGAGAAATACGACCAAATGGTGCCTTTTGGAATAATTCCAAATCCTGAGGTTGGGGTACAGGGTTCCTGATACTGTTTTCTGTCTGCTGTGCCCAGAAGAGCCAGACTTGGTACTGAACTGGGGAATGTGCACTATGGCTGGGCATGCTGGGGACACAGTGTGAGCCATTTTGCATTTGGTCTCTTAAAAAACAAATATAAAAGGCCACGAGTCTCATTTTCTTTCTCTTTTCTGTGTGTTGAATCACCTGAGATGAGGCACAGGCTGAATGCACACACTCTC